AATGTAGTCCCTCACACCAACAGGCTAAAGATATATGATGATGTGCATGGAGTATTGCCAACGAGTTCATGTGAGCTTTGTCGTCAGGGTTTTATTGAGGGCTGGTCGTATAGACACAGGTGACCTTAGTCTCCAGATCCTCTAGAGGTGGAGCTGATAATGTGTAACCCAAGACCTCCACCATAAATATTGAGTAAAATAGACTTCAGATCAAAGAAAATTAACAGAGACAGACAGGGATATTATATAATGATAAAAGACTCAATCCACTAAGAAGGCATAGCAGTCCTAAATGTGCAAGCACAAAACAACAAAGTGATAAAATATGTGAAGCAAATCCTGATACAAATAAAAGGAGGAATAGAAAAATCCATAATTGTAGTTGGAGATTCAAAACCCCTCTCAATAACTTACACAGCAACTATCCAGAAAGAAAGCCTGGATGTAGAAGAACTAAAAGAAGTCACAGACCAACAGGATCTAATGAAAATTTATAGAACGGTCCACCCAACAGCAATAGACTACACATTCTTTTCAAGCACTACAGAAAATATACAATGATAGATCATATCCTGGGCCATAAATTAAAAAAATTTGCAAAATTTGAAATCGTATTGAATTTGTTCTCTGGCCACAATGGAATCAAACTAGAAGTCAATAACGGAAAGATAACAGCAAAATACCCAAATATTTGTGAACTAAACAACACACATCCAAACAGTACATAGGTCAAAGAGGAAGTCTCAGGGAAATTTAAAAATACATGAATATAGGTGAAAATTAAACATTCTGAATGTGTGAAACACAACTAAAGCAGTGCTGAGAGGAAAATGTAGCACTAAATGCTTACATTAGAAAAGAGGAAAAGTCTCAAATCAATAATCTAAGTTTTTACCACAATAATCTAGAGAAAAGAATGAGCAAAATAGGTAGCTGATGAAGGAAATAATATAGATAAAAGCAGAAATAAACAAAGATCTGATTCTTTGAAAAACTCAATGAAATTGACAAACCTCTAGCAAGACTGGCAAAGAAGGAAGGGCGTAGGAAGAGAGAGAGAGAGAGAGAAACAAATTACCAACATCAATATCAATAATGAAGCAAGGATATCACAACAGACCTTGTAGAAATCAAATGTATAATAAGGAATATGCCATTCATTAAATACACACAAATTAAAAGCACAACGAGGTATTACTACACACCTACCAAAATAGCTAAAATTAATTATATTGACAGCATCAAATGATGGTAAGAATGTAGAGGCCAAACCATGAGTACATTGATGGTGAAAATGTAAAAGCCACTCTAGAAAACTGGCAGTTTGTTAAGAAAACGAATCATGCAACTACACAGAAACCTGGATAAGAATGTTCATAGCAGTTTTATTCATAACAGCTTAAACTGGAAACAACTCCTGTGTCCATCTATGGGTGAACAGTAAGGAAAATGGTAGTACATTGATACCATGGAATACCACTTAGCCGAGCTAAGCAATGATGACACTATCAGTGATGACATTTCTTGAAGTATCATCAAATTGTATCTTTGAAAATTTCATGGCTGGCTTCATTCCAATTAGTCTCATTTAGGGAGGTTCTATTATAACCACCCTATCTCCAAATTACAAATTGGGTATGTCATTATTTTAAAGATTTTTATGCCACTTATGGGTAAAGGAGGTAATTTGGGAGACATAGTTTGAATACTAAAATGAAATGTCTTATTTTTCAGGAGGTTATGATACAGAGTATTTGAAACAGGATTGTCTTAGAAGATCTAAAAAACATGTATATATATATATAATATTATTGACATGTTATTATAAATTATTATTTGCAAGTGAGTTGTTATGACTTATAAATTATCATGGCTTATTAAAATACATATATTTTACAACTATAATTGATCACTAATGTCAAACTATATATATATATATATATATATATATATAAAGAGAGAGAGAGAGAACACTTTAAAATGTTTGTGGAAAAATTGAATTAAAAGATAAAGATAAAAAATATAAACTTGATTTCAACATAAACACCATCAAGTTCAAGACACTTTTGAAAGAGATGATACAAGCCATTTAGTCCATCCCTAAATAACTGAGGGTCCTGGGAATTTAACCATGTTAATGCAGTCTTTTTTACATTATTAACTATCAGAAAATGGGGGCTGTTTAAAGATTTTTCTTTAAGATTAAGAAAGAAACAAACAAAAAAAATGTCAGAAGGAGCAAAATCAGGACTCTGAGGTGGATCCTAATAATTTCCCAACAAATCTCTTGCAAAACTGACCTTGTTGGTTAAGGAAGAAATAAGGAGGAATAAGGAAGAATGTTGTCATGGTGAACAAGGATTCTCTGGTGAAGCTTTCCCTGGAGTTTCTCTGCTAAAGCTTTGACTGACTTTGTCAAAACACTATCATTCTTTGGCCCTCCAGAAAGTCAACAGGCAAAATGCCTTGAACATCCAAGGAAATTGTTGCTATGACCTTTGCTCTTGACCGGTTGCATTTGCTTTGACTGGCCCCTTCCACCTCTCGGTAGCCATTGCTTTGATTGTGCTTTGTCTTCAGGATCATACTGTAAAGTTTCATCTTCTGTTTCATATCCTGTTGCAATTCTTAAAGAAATGCTTCAGGATCTTGATTCCACTTGTTTAAACATTTCCACTGAAAGCTCTGCTCTTCTCTGCAGCTGATCTGAGTGCAGTAATATTGGTGCCCATTGAGTGGAAAGTTTGCTCAACTTTAATTTTTCAGTCAGAATTGTATTAAGTTGAACCAATTGAGATGTCTGTGGTGTTGGCTAATGTTTGTGCTGTTAATTGTTGGTCTTCCTCAATTAGGGCATGAACGAGATGAAATTTTTCCTTGCCAACTGCTGTGGATGGCCTGCACTAAGGCACAGGCTTCATCTTCAACATTGTCTCTTCCCTTCTTAAAATATCTTATCCATTTGTGAACTGTTGATTTCTCTGAGGCATTGTCTTCATTGATGCTTTTTGTAAAGTACCAATGATTTCACCATTCTTCCCGTCAAACTTCACCATAAATTTATTATTTGTTTTTGCTCCTCTTGTAGCAAAATTCACGTTGCTCTGATAGGGGCTCTTTTCAAACTGATCTTATCCTTCTTACTGCCTCTAACTAGATCCTATGCAGACATGTTATAACAAGTTAGTATGAATTTGTTTTGCTACAAAAAATTTTTTAAATACATGCATAGTTTTTTCATAATGTGTATTTTCCATGACTTTTTGAAGATCCCGTGTGTGTGTGTGTGTGTGTGTGTGTGTGTGTGTGTGTGTGTTCACTTCCTCTTGCAAATGAATTAGGCTGTATATAAACCCTCTCATGTGTCATCAGGCATTTTTATTCTGCTGTAATACTTTGTCATGTTTAACATGGCACATACAAGAAGACCAGATACAAAATCAGTGTGAACATAGGTAGTTTCTTCTTAATTTCTGTTCATCTTTCAAACAGCTTGCCTGGCATTTGTTAATAGCCCTCTTACCTGGTTTAGGCTGTTTCTACCTGGGAATTCCTGGCTTAGCTTGTCAGGTGCTGTTTTATCCCTGGTATTTTCAGCATCCCCTTGAATCATCACTACTCATTTTTGGATCCATGTCTATCTAGATCATAAGAAAGTTTCCTGAGTCTTCATACTCTTAGTCTCATGATTGGAAGTAAAAGTAGCTCAATAAAATTTAAAATTATCTTTTTTTCCATGCTACTTTTGTTTCTCTTTCAGAACATTCTATCCTCATTTTTTCTCTTCCCTTCTTTCCCTTTGAGACATTTTTACCTGCCTCCTACTACACCACCTCCCTGTCATATAACACATATTATATAATGGGCATCTTTTTTTTGAGCCAGCCCGAATAAGTTTTGAATACTGGTTTCCCCTCTGACAAGATATGTAACCTGGGGGCAAGTTATTTGAATTCCCAAAGTCTTATAATTTGTAAAATGGGGAATAATAATGGCCCTAGGTAGGATTAATTGAGGTGGCCTTAACTCCTTTTCTTTTTGTTCTTCAAACTCTGAAATTTAATGTTTTAATGAATGGCATTGATTGAGTTGGGTTGGGAGTAGCCCCCCCATTAAGTGAGAGGCTGACTAGAGATTTTAGAGGTTAAACTGTGCAGGAGACAAGAAAGAACAAAGTTCAGAGGTCTCTTGAGCCAGGGGTTTTAGAGGCCTGAAGAAGAGACAGCTGATGCTTTTTTTATTCTTTGCTTCTTATTTAGAACTCTGTTGGGAGAGAGGTAAAGATAGAGAGTTGGAAAATTCTAAAGATGAGAGAAAAGACAAACATAAGGAGAGGGAGGGGGAAGCGAATCTTCTAAAACATAAAAAAGATAATATGATTTATGAAAAAATGATTATTTCAAAAAGATTCACAATCCTACTCTCTAACATAATCTATTTTTATTTTTCCATATCCTCTCTTGGATATTGATAGGAATGAATTCATTGTTTTATGTGGATGAAACCTCAGAGAAACAAAATTTGTGTTCTCTCACAAGACTAATGAATAATTCTGATTACATCTTTCCCTTTTAGTCAGACTCGCCCATTTTAAGTTATTTTCCACATTAACTATTGATGACCAAAATAATCAAGTCTAGCTTGTGTTTGTCCTACTGTCTCATAATTTGGGTCATAGAAACGCTGCATAATAAATCAATTTGGTATGTATCTTCTTGCCTCTGGTAGTGTCGAATCAGGCCAGAAAACCACATTTGCTCTCTGCATAGATAAATCTATCATTCACCAAATCGCTGCATCCCTTTGGACTGGATCTCCTCAGCAGAGAGGTTGAAGCTGAGCAGCGTGTGGCCCCTGGCCAGCACGCGGCACTTTGGGCCAGCAGGGGGCGCGCAAGCTCCGGGAACCCTCTGGAGGAGCCGGGGGGCGTGGCTTCTGCATCCTTGACGGACAGCTAAGGATGCTGGCGTGAATGAGGTAATACGAGCCGGAGCTAGGAGGGAGAGAGGGTGTGCGCGCGTGTGTGTGCGGGTGTGAGTGTGCGAGTGCGTGCGCAGGCCCCGAGACACTGCGTGTTTCCAGCTCGCGCTGCGGACACCGATCGTGCTGCATTAAAAACAAAAGACAATCACATTCTGGGAAGGAGGCTGCAAAGTTGCGGCCGGGCGACAGCGGCGGTCCCGGGCCGCGTCATGGCGGGTCGCCTCTCCGCAGCGAGGAGCCGGGGAAACCCCCGTGGACGCGGGTTTGCCTTAGCGCCCCGCTTGGGAGGGGCGATTCCTTCTGGAAGCGACTGAGCAGAGCCACAAGGAGGGGGAGCTGTCCCCGTGGCGGCGACTGCACCTCGTGCGGCGAGAGGGTGGGGAGGGAGGGGAGAGGGGAGGAGAAGCGAGCGTGCCATTCCGGGCGCGACCGTGCGGCGAGATCCCACCCCGGCGTCTGCAGAGCCCGAGGCGCAACTGGTGCGAGGGTTGGGTCCTCGCCTCGCCGCCAGCCCCAGCGCGCGGCCGCCGGGTGGCTTTTGCAAGGCGGGGGCCTGTTTGCAGAGAGCCGGGCATTTGCATGAAGCGACTCGACCCCACGGAGCAGCGGCAGCAGCGGCGGACCCCGGCGGCGGCGGCGGCGCGCGGTCCGACCCAGGCGGCCCCGGGCCCCGGGCCCCGGTGGATGCGCGGCTGGGGAGGAGCCCATGGGCCGGAGCTGAGGCTGCCCGGGGCGGCGGGGCGCGGGGCGGGGGGCGCGGTCGAGGCCCGGAGGCGGCGGCGCCGGAGGAAGCGGAGGAGGTCGGGCGCTCGGGGCCCGGGAGGCAGGCAGCGCAGCGCCGCAGCCCCGGGCTCGCCATGCTCCTGGCCTCGGCCGTGGTGGTCTGGGAATGGCTGAACGAGCACGGCCGCTGGCGTCCCTACAGTCCGGCCGTGAGCCACCACATCGAGGCGGTGGTCCGCGCCGGCCCCCGCGCGGGGGGCAGCGTGGTGCTGGGCCAGGTGGACAGCCGTCTCGCGCCCTACATCATCGACCTGCAGTCCATGAACCAGTTCCGCCAAGACACGGGTGAGCCGGCTGCCCCTGCCCCGCCCGCGCCCACCTCCCCGGCCTGCCACGGGATCTCCCGCCTCGTGCGCCCACCTTGGCCCACCCAGTGGGCACCTCCGTGCAGGGGAGTCCCCAGGAGGTGGTGGTGGGCGGCGCTTTACTCCCCTTGATCCTCCTAGGATCCCCCACCCCAACGTCCATGCAAGTAGTATCAGGGTTCTGGTTGTGCAAACCCAGCTTCAGTCTGGTCGGTGGGAGCCCCCTGCCAGCTTCACGCCTCCTTTTCGGCGCTTAGTGGCCCTAAGTCCTTCCGTCTAGACGATCAGGGGGCACCCCAGTCCACAAACGATCCCGGCCTCGCCAAAGCTCCCTGTCCTCACCCCGCGGCTGCTCACGCCCGGGCTGACCCTGCTCTGCCTTGGGCCCGCCACATGCCTCCCTCACCCCACCTTGGTGCCTCTGCCCTGCGGTGCGGGATGCCTTCCCTCAGCGGGTCCTGGTGTGGGAACCCGCAAGGGAAGAAGGGATTCCCCGGAGGCTCAGGCTGTACTCGGGTAAAGGACGCGCCGGGGCGTCCTGGGAGGGGAGCCCGGAGTTGGGGGGTTCCAGGGGCTGGAACGCGCTGGGCGCCGCGGCACTGGGCGCCTCTGCTGTGCACTCCAAGTGCCGGAGCAACAGGCCAAGCAGATGGAGAGAGGAGGGGGAGGGCCGGGGCTCCGGAATGTCTGGCGGGGAAGCCGCTCTCTTTGTCCGCGGAGCAGGAGGCAGATTCCTAAGGAGAGACTGTCCCCAAGCTTCCTCCTGAAACCGTAGCCTATGAGAGCGCTAAACTCCTGTCTCTTCGTGAGAATCGAGTTGCCACTATGGCCACCACAAACCCGGTCTCTCAGCTGACCAATCTTTCCAGGTCAGAGCCAGGAAGGGAGCCTGGGGGGGGGGGAGGGGGGTCCGAGGGAGGAGGAGGAGGAGGACAGAGCTGCATGTCTGTCTTTGCTTGGTCCAGTGTGCCCATGCTTAATTGATGGTCCGGGACAAGTCTCTGCCTTTCCAGCAGTCTCTTCAGCGACAGGGGTGGGGAGCGGCCGTTGTTTCCGGAATTCTAGCCGGGCTTTCCCAAGAGTGTAGCCGCGGAGCCTGCAGAGGCAGGTGTGGTGGGGAGCGAGTAGAGCAGGCTGGCGGCTCAGAGAACAGCTGTCTGGGCAGGGTGTCTCCGCTTCCTTGGAAAGCCCCCACATCCTGTGTGCTAATTAGGATTGTCATGGGAAAGGGGTATCTTTCCACCCTCATGTCCCCATCTTTAGTCATAATTCCCAACAACCTCTCTGCCAAGGACTCTGCAGGCTTTGGCCCAGTGAGGGAAGCTTTCTGGGGAAAGGATTCCAGAAGCCTTAGAATCCAGAGGGGCTTAACCCTTGGTGGGGAAGGGAGGGACTCCGAGCTGAGAGACACTGGGAGGAGGAGAGAATGGAGGGAAATGTGGGGAGATTGAGAAAGAGGATTAAGTGTGGCTGAGAGGGAGGGAGAGAATGTAATTGTGCAACTTGGATGGAGGTGGTGGAGGTGAGGGTGGGGGTGTCCTGCGGGGGAGGGGAGGGTGTCTGTGTGTTAGGGGAGCTGAGCCATGGGTGGGACCACAAAGACCAGCAGTGAAGGCACCTGACAGGGAATTCCAGTCCTGCTCAAAATAAAAATAGCAGGTGTTAGCTTTTCTATTTCAGATCAAATCTCTGCAGCATATGGAGAACCACCCTAGTGATGTAAAGGTCTCAGCCCCTCTCCCGCATTTGGGGAGGGCAAAGGTGGAGTTTGTGTTTGGGGGCACCTAGTGTGGGCAGGGTGTCTGGGAGCAGTCATGACCTAAAGGACCCTTTTAATAGAAGTGAAGGGTAAACTATGCAGAAAGACAGAAGCTGCTCCCCCAGGTCTGATTACTCCTACCCGGGGACTGGTGGACTACTGCCTCGTGGTTGGCAGTGTAGCCAGAAGAGGAGGCTCCTTGGATTCTAGACCAGAGGCAGAGAACTAGCCCTGGATCATCTTAAAGACTGCCTTGGGGTGCGTTTTACATTGAGACTACTTTGGTTTCATGCACTCACTGCTGAGCACCTCTCCCCCTCCGTGCCAGGCCCTGTGCTGGGTGCGGAAGGCACTGGGCTAAATTCCCAGGAACCTGGGTTTGTCAGGGCGCTTGTCAAAGTAGAATAGAATCTCCGAGTTTCTGGGCTTTGAGCCCCCTCCTCTCCTTTCTCCACCAACACACACACAGTTCCTCTCAATATAGCTCATTGATGAGGCCATGACAGGGTAGGAACTTTAAACCAGTGGCTCCCAGGCAACCTCAGCCAAGCCCCTGCAATGTTTAATTAAATTACCCACCATCCTCAAGCCACAGTTGAAAGCTGGGAACCAGAAACATCCCCATAAACAAAAGAGAGCTGGAAGTCCCCTGCCCAGAGGCGATTCCTCTCTTTTTTGTTGCCTCTTCTGTATGGGGACATTTCCTGACATGGGAGCTTTGTCTTTTTAGAAGTTGCCTGCCCCACTGCTGAGTGAGTCCTCAGTCTCTCCACTCGCCTGGGCTCCTGATCTCATCCAGCCTGTCTCCAGGGAGATGGCTGGGAGGTGGCAGACACCCATCTGCCGCCTCTGTTTGCCCTGGGCCCTTCTTGCACAGACTGCCTAGGGGTTTGAGTCATTTGCATTCTGTGCTCGTCCCCTCTAGGCATTTTGGGCTAGAGAATCTAGAAGAAGGGAAAAGATGGGGTGAGCTAGAGGGGACTGGGTCTTGTCTACTTCCAAAAGCTTTGGTGGCTCCTCTCTACCTGCTGTCATTTACCTTGACTGGGCTGCCCCTTTTCTGTCGTAGGGCAGTGACTGGAGAGCTTTATTCAGCATCACTTTCTCCTGTATCTTCCAACACACCTGATCTCCACCATCTCCAGGGCCCCAGGAGAAGGATGGGGAAGACTGGGGTTGGCAGTGAGGAGACATGACTCAGGCTCTCATCCTAGACTCACCACTTACTATGTGACCTTGAGCAAGTCCCTTAACTGCTCAGGCCTCATTTTCCTCTGTGGGGTGAAGAGCAACCTTAAGATTCCTTCTTTCCTTCCTCCCATCATGAAGATTGGCAGGTGCATGGGTTTGACCCCTGCACCCATGATGATGCAGATAAGAATCTTCTAGGTGTGAGGGAGAGTTCTTTCCAGTCCCAAGTTTTCTGTGCAAGTTTTGCCTCCTTCATGTCTTTTAATGCAGCAAGAAGTGTCAGGTGGAGAGAGAAGGGATTTAATTAGATGGTTTGACAGAAGCCTAATTTTTAGCAACTCCCCCCCCCAAACCCAGTATCCACTACCCTGTGTAAGCACAGGAGTGGAGGAGGCAGACATCATGATGACCACATGATAACTGTAGTGTGCAGGACGTGCCGTATATCTGCACCATGGCAAGCACATTACACACACTATCTTGTTTAATCCTCCCAACACTCCATGAAAAACTATGGTCACCCCCATTTCATAAGAAAACAATTTGAAAGATATTAAGTTCCTCAAGGGTTTACAGCTAATCCATGGCAAAGCTGAGATTCCAAATGAAGTGCCCTGTGTTTTTACTTTTTCAATCAGTGAACAGCTATGGGGCAACTGTGTAGGCACTGTTCCAGGCATGTGGGGTATAGCAATAATAGGACATCCAAGTCTCCGTTCTTGGGGAACATTCTGGTACGGATGGGGGATGCTGATAAAAGAGGCCTGGGATTTCCTGGACACAGTGCTCTGTGTCCACGCTCTTACAGCAGGGAGTTGCTGGCATAGATGTGGGTGACATGCCCGAGAGACCTCAGGTCATTACCTGCCATATCCCAGGAGCCAAAACATGTTGGGTGCTTTGGGATGCAGGTGTCTGAGTTGCTGGGAAAAGCTGATTTTCTTTCTTCCTCTTTAGTTTATGAACATCTTCTATCCCTATCCTACTCCTACTAGAGGCTCTTTTCTTTTTTTGGATGGCTGTGCAGATTATCTAGTTTATGGGCCTGATCTGGAAAAGCCCAGGACAAGCACATTCCAAATAGGGTGGCCTCTGAAAATAATCAGAGAAGGAAATCCCACCATCTCTCTTGTCTCAAAACTTTGATTCTGAGGTCTGCTTCCTGTCTCCAACTCCCCTCTAGGGCTGAACTGAACTCAACAACTTTCCCTCCAAAAACCAGCTCTTCCTCTTGACATCTCTCTGCCTGTTCATGGTGACACCATTTTGCCACTTTCCCATGGCCAAAGCCTCTGGATTCTTTTATTCGTTCTGTCATTCAGAGTCTTATTTGGGGGTGTAGTATGTACAGGTGTGTAGGCCATGTGGCTCAAGAGTTGAAACTTGAGTGTGCATGGTGGAAAGCCAGGGTGGTCACTCACGTGCAGGTCCCAGGCCCAAACCCTGGAGATGCACCTGCTTGTTTCTTGAGGGCATTGCTGATCCACACCCCGGGAGATTCTGAAGGAGGTGGTCTGAGAACCTCATTTGGAAAGCATTCAGCAACTCATGGTCAAGTCCTACCCATTTTTTCTCTGTAGAGTTTCTCTATTCTGTCACCTTTTCATTTCCCTGCCAGCACCCTTCCACTCACCTGGAACTAATTAACAGAGTAGCTCTGGTCTTGTCGCTCTTTGCTTAACAAACTCCACTGGCTCCTCGTTGCCTACAAATTAAATCCGTCACAGCTTGGCATTCCAGAACACACAAGGCATAACATATTTTCCAGGCTTATCTTCTTCTCTACCTTATATTTTCCTCTGTCCTGCCAATCGGAGGCCACTTCTATCCTTGTACATTCCTTCAGAGTTCTCTGATGCCCCCCAACTATCCATAAGCCCCCTTCTTCTGAAATGCTGTCCTCTGTCATTTTGCCTATTGAAAGTCTCCTTAGTATTCAGATTCTATGCCATTTGTCATCTGTTTCTTGAAATGTTCTCTAAACCTTGAAATGCTCTCCAAATTGTCATTGCTTCGTTTATTCAATCAATATTTATTGGGCCCTTCGGCATGCCAGGCACGGGGGGTACAGCCATGAGTAAACACCTAGATGTCTGCTCTCTTGGGACTGGGAATCTCATGAGATAAATAGGTAGTCATCAAATTAGCCTCACCAATAAATGTGTGACTGCCCATTGAGATAAGTGCTATGAAAAAAAAAAGGGGGAACAGAAATTTCACCTGGTCAGAGCAACCCAGAGAGGCTTCCTTGAGGAAATGAGCTTTAATCTGTACATAAGCAGCAAAGAGGATGCCCGAGTGTCTTGGGGAAGGAACCAGCATGGTGATGAGGCCCAGAATCAGAGAAACCTGGCAACTAGGAGAAGCTAGAGTCCAGTGGGGTCAAATCTGGGCAGAGTGCGTTAGCAGTGAGGGGCCACAGAGGTTGGCAGGTGGAGGGCATGCCGGGCCTGACCTAAGGGGAAGTCATGGAAGAGATTTCAGCAGGGAGGGGATGTGGTCAGATTTCCTGCCAACTTGTGTTTTGTTGGCATCTTGCTTGTGGAACATTCCGCCTCATAGTCATTTGCACAGTTGTCTTCTAACCCTGTTTTAGACGGCAAGCTACTTCAGGAATGCTTGAATCTTTGCGTTCCTCATAGCAGCTAATGGGTACTCAGTGGTGTGTGGTAAAGGATTAAATATCAAAGTGGCCAGAAGTCTTCCATCAATCACAGCAATGTTGATGGAGCCCTGTGGCGGCCAGGCACTGCATTAGGCAGTGGCATGCAAAGAGCTCCATGGTGGTATCCCTGCCCCCACTTAGGCACCCCAGCATGAAAAGTGCCAAAACACTGGTGCCCATCAGGCTTGGACAAGAGATGCACTTCCGGTTCCTGGGGGTGGGGCCTGGGCTGGGGTGAACATTTCAAGGAATGGATGGCGAATGGCACAGGACCTGAATGATAAGGCTAATTTCGACAGGCAGAAATGGCAAAGGAGGACATTTCAGTAGAAGAGACCTGGAGAATTGTTGGAGAGACTCTTAGGGAACTTGGAGAGATTGCCTGTGGATAAGAGGGGCCTCTGTTTGGCAGGAAAATGAGGGGATAGAGAAAGACAGACCTGGAAATGTATGTTACAGAGCCGTGACATAGTTTCCAGAAGTTCTGGGACGACTCTCAGGCATCTACAGGATTGATAACACTATTATTAAAAAAAAAATGCCTGTTAGGCATATTTGTGAGAATTGGTTAAGTGCATTGTCCCTGTTAGCCTGGAAAGAATATAAAATAGTGCCATTTAAATTCTCTAAAGTTAATTTCCTCTTCTGTAAAAGGTGTTTCATAGGATTGCCAGGAAGATTACGTGGTTATGTGGAAAATGTGAGGTGCTTTGTAAGTAATAAAGATTGTGCAAATATGAGTTATATAGAAACTTTCTCTCTCTCTCTCTCACACACACACACACACAATGCCCACCTCCCTTGAACTAAACTTTCCCCATGATTTTTTCATCCTGCTTAGATGTAATAGAAAATAAATTACAATAATAATCAGCAACTTTTATTGAGCTCTTGCCATGGTGACAGGTGCTATTTTAGAGTTTTATATTCATTTCTTCATTTAATCCCCAAATCCACCCTTTGAAGTAGCCACCCGGGACCCAAACAGACGAGGAAACTGAGGCTTAATCACGCAGCTGGAAGGGACAGAACCACCCCTGTCGGACCCAAAGCCGCACTCTTTGTTCCCCAGCAAGCTGGCTGCTTAGGAAGGAAATAGAGGCAAACCCGGGAACTATTGCCGCCACCCTCCCATCCTGGTACCCCCGTGTCCCCCAGCAGAGGCCCTGGCGATGAATAGGGGATTGTTCTGCTTCTCCCTGGTGCCTCTGAATGTTGATGTTTTGGGTCATTAAGGGGCTTGGAGATGGGGTGGGGGGCGGGTTATGACCCTGGCTAAGGCCTGAATAGCCATTGTTCCTTTTCTTCCCCCCTTGAATGGGATTCTGTCCCCAGTCTTGGTGTCTCCCTCTGGCTTGGGGGAGGGGGTGGGTCAGAGGCCGGGGAAGGGGAGCCTTTTCCCACCACTTTGATGGATAGCTCTTAAGCCGACAGATGCAGAGATTCTGGCATCCTTGGAGCCCTCCCCACCATGCCTTGAGCCAGGCATCTTTAGCCTTGGTGCTGATAACATGAAATGAGCCCTGGTCTGGGCAGGGTCTGGCTCAAGTTTGGGGTAGGAAAGAGGGGGCAACAGCTACAGGCTTAGCTTCCTTGTAGCCTTGCAGGTTCAAGTCTACTGTACCATTAACCCCTGTAATAACCTTAGCCTCTGCCCTGCCCCTGCAGTGAAACTGTTAAAATTAAGATGTTCCTATCTTTAGGAGGGTTTGAGCTTCTTGAAAGAAAGATGTTAGATAAATATAAAATTATTCTCATGACCACTGAGAATGGCATTTTTGTTGATATAAGATTTAAGGTTGGGAAATATGGGAGAGGTCTTCCAACTTGATTTCCCTTCTTCTCACAATAACACACCAATTTTTTTTTGTACCATACCCATAAATGTAGAGTCAGCTCCATCACCACTGTCTCTGGGAGGCCTTAGGTGGGGAGGGGGGCGGGGAGGAGACAGAGTCTTCCTTCTGTCTTCCGGGCATCCACGGCCTTGTGTTCTTTTCCTCCATAACGCTTGGTGCAGAGGCATTTAGAGGGACAGAGGAGAAGGAACATGATCTTTATGAGCATGTACTATATGTGTCAAGGGCTTTATATGCCCCAGTGCAACGTACAGGGTGCACGGGAAATCCAGTACCCGCCATGTTCCAGTGCATGTTTGTTGAATGATTAAGTGAGTCACGGGTAAGTTTTACGAAAACCCTGGAAAGTAGTTACTGTCCTGTTTCCCAGGGGAGAAAAGGAGGCTGAGGTTCTATATTAGCCAGTAAGTGAGTGAATTTGGTGGCAAACCCAGGTGCTCCGGCTCCAAACCAGGAGGTACTCCCTGCTGCCCGGCGCTGCCTCCCAGGTCCTTTATGTTGTAAGTCACCTGCTTCCAGCCTGGTTGGACGTCTTAAAGGCAGGGAGGCGTCTCTTTCAGAGCTGACACCTCAACGGACAGTGTGGCCAGCACACAGTAGGACTTATTGCATGTTTACCTGTTAATGTAATGCCATTCAGGGTTATTCATGCTGACCCTGACCTCTCCTCCGCCCCACTCCTGCAGGGACCCTCCGCCCAGTCCGCCGCAACTACTACGACCCGTCCTCAGCCCCCGGGAAGGGCGTGGTGTGGGAGTGGGAGAATGACAACGGCTCTTGGACACCCTACGACATGGAAGTGGGCATCACCATCCAGCACGCGTATGAGAAGCAGCACCCCTGGATCGACCTCACCTCCATCGGCTTCAGCTACGTCATCGACTTCAGCACCATGGGCCAGATCAACCGGCAGACCCAGCGCCAGCGCCGTGTGCGCAGGCGCCTCGACCTCATCTACCCCATGGTCACAGGCACCTTGCCTAAGGCTCAGTCCTGGCCAGTCAGCCCTGGGTCGGCCACCTCGCCCCCTGCGCCCCCCTGCTCCTGTCCACAGTGTGTCTTGGTGATGAGTGTTAAGGCGGCCGTGGTCCATGGCAGCTCTGGGCCCCTGCAGCCCCCGGCGACACGCAAGAACATGCCCCCTTCCGGAGTGGTCAAGCTGCCTCCCCCACCAGGCCCCGGGGCCAAGGCACTGGACAGCGCAGGCACCCTTCGAGGCCCGGTGAAAACAGCCCCATCGCAGGTGACCCGGCGACAAACCTCCAGCAAGCCGGCTGGGGCAACTGTGGGCTCTCCTGCCAGCCCCCCAGGAGCCAACGGCAAGACTACGGGAAGGGTCGCCCTGGCCACCCTGAATCGTACCAACCTGCAGCGGCTGGCCATCGCCCAGTCCCGGGTGCTGATCGCCTCCGGGTAGGTGCCTCCGTGGCTGCCTCAGAGCATTTACTCATTGCAGAGAGAGGCTATGACTGATCTTCTGGGTCAGTGGAAAGAGGGGCTGCCAAAACTGAAGCCCCATCTTACCTTGTGTTGGCCCCTGGTGCAGGTGCAGGCAGCACGGTGTGTGGTGGATGAGGGAGGGTTTGACCTGGGGTCCCAGCGATCTGATTGAGACTTTTCCTCTTACTAGCCATGTGATTTGGGGCTAGATCCCTGACATTAGAGAGTCCCAACTTCTCGTCTGCAAATGCTGGCAATATTTCTCATGTTGGGGTTGCCGTGAGGTTTAAAGAAGATTGTGCATAGTGAGTCATAAATAAGCAACACTAATTGAGCTCCCACTGTGTTGTAGTTTGGGGGTTTTATCTCCTCATTTAATCCTTGCAACAACTATGAAGTAGGCGCTATCCCACTTTCCAGATGAGGAAAATAGAGGTTCCCTTGCAAGGGCACATAGCTAATCAGTGGTGTCCACTAGGATTCAGACTGGAGGAAGTCTGGTGCCAGAGCCCAGATTCTGACTCTGCTGTGCTCCTCCCCCACCAAGCACATACCACAGGGCGGGGCACAAAGCAGGTGCCAAACGAGGGTTAGTCCCTTTCCTCTGGTCTCTTGGAAGCTGGAGGGGCGACTCCAGATTGAAATAGCAGCCCATTCTTAGTGACTACTTACTACATGCTGGCACTTGCCATGTATTGATTGTCTGTTATTCCTATGACAACCTGGTGACGTTGTAGGTCCTGTTCGTATTGCTTTTTCTGTTGTTCCTGATCTTGCGGATCATAAAATTGAAGCGACCCAGGTCAATGCGGTGCCTGCTGCCCCTGGTTTCTCCTCATTCTCACACCCACCCAGTCTTCCCTTTCTTTTTCCCGGGGGGATCTGCTTTTAGTCCCTGAACCCCAGACGGTCAGGATGGTTTTAGATTTCGGTTGGGCACCTGAGTCTGAAAATTCAGGCTGCCTTGAGAAGAGTGCCATCGTACTCAGCTGGGTCTCTGTACACAGAAGTTTGCAGCTGGGAGGAGAAAAGAAGGAGGGCACACCGCAGAGTGGGAGGAATACTGGGCCAGGAGTCCAGAGATCGGGAGGCCAGGCCTCTAATCCTGCCTCTCTCTGCCACTGGAGTGAGCCACAGAATCTTTGCCAGACCCAAGGGACTTACCTGCCCCACGGAGCCACTGTGAAAAACTTCACTAAGAGAGTTTGCCCCGTGGGAGTTTACTAGATTATTGCATTCCCTTACTCTGTGATGGAAGGTTAGACACAGGCACTTAGCTCAGAATTAACTCCCCAAGGAGGGCCACATAGCTCCCGTGTTATAGAGTAGGGATGAGAACCCAGGTTTCAGCCCTCTAGTCTGCTGTTCTTTTGGCTACAGCCCAGCTTCTTGTGGTGTGTAAACACGATTTACAAATGGCAAAATGCTGGTCAGATGCATGGGATTTTCATGACCTCCCCTCAGTTGCCAGAAGCATCTGGGAGAGGGGAGTGGGCATCTAACCTGCGCCCCTGCTGAATTTCTCCACCCATGCCATCACACAGCAGCATCCTGGGGGCCTCTAACAGAATTCTGGGGTGATGGCTGGCATGGAGAAGAGAGGCTCACGTGCTAGATAAGAACATGGCCTCTCGAACCGAGGACCGCCGGGGCTTGAACCCAGGTTATTTGCTGAGTCACTTGGGGCAAGTTTCCTCTGGCTTCAGTTTCCTCATCTGTAAAATGGGATAGTAATAGGATCTTCCTTCTTGGGTTGTCATGAGGATCACATGACATGGTCATTGTGCACAATGCTTGACACACAGTAAGAGTTCAATCAGTCTTTGCTGCTATTATTGTTATTGTTAACAGGTACTAATGAATATGTACTGCATAGTTGTTGACTTGAAGTCAAAGCTGAGCAGCTTCCAACACCCCACCTTGTCTCCGGCGCCCTTGGCGAGTGCCAAGTGACCTCATGCCATCACTGAGGGATAGGCACACAGGTGGCTTTGAATCCCGAGGAATGAGTGGAAGGCGGCCTTTTCTCTCCTCTTTGTTCCCTCTACCCGCCAATAGAGAATGGGTGGAGGTCTGGGCAGTGCAGTTTCAAAGGGGCTATAGAAACAAGTTGCGTTTTTTTTTTTCTCCCTCATCTCTGTTTTCTTGACAAGGGAGGCCCCTGCCTACCCCTCTGAATCTTCCAGCCCTTCCCTTTTCACCTCCAACCTCCTCCCTCACCCCCATCCCACCTTCTCCTCCAGCCTCTCTTGGCCATTTAATTAGCGTGTTGATTCCCTTTGTCTGGCATTGCCATCGACCTTCTGTCGTTGCAGGGCCCCAGCCCCCCCTCCCCTCTTTGCCCATGACCTCTTCCAGCAACTTTCCCACGGAAAAAGGAAGACCAGGGAGGGCGGGAGAAGTGGGAGGAAGAGAAAGGTTTGGGGTGGGGGAACAAAAGATCCTGTGAATTATTCAGGGACACAAGCAGGGGGTTTCTAAAGAGAGAGGGGGGCTGTGCGGTGGAGAGTGGGCGTCGCCCCAGCTAGGCCTCGGTTGCCGTAGAGACCAGACCCTTGTCTTGCTGGAAGATTCCTGGGTTGGCACGTAACTCCCGAGAAAACACTGCTTCTCACCATGGTGTCTGCGGAGATCCCCTCTCTCCCGCAACCAACCCCCTTCTACCTTGCCAGCTCTCATCTTTTGTCTCAGTTTTATATTTTAGCAACAGAAATGAAAACTTGGACCTTCCATAACTGGGAACAGCCCAACAGAGGGAGGGGAGGGGTGTGTTTTGAGTGGCCCACAAGTGGTTAGGCCGGACAGCTTTGACTGAGCAGTGTTGCCTGGAGGACTTGAGAGGCGAGCCGGCCACCATCGGGTTGCTGTTTTCTAGAAGGAGGGCTCAGGCATAGTCACTGGGGCCTCAACAGGGTAATGACTGGCCTGGACTCCATGGGCTGTTCTCGTAGGTTTTCATTGCAACCAGTAACAGTGGGGGAAGTGTGGTCAGGTGCTGCCAGCTCAGCACTCCTAAGTACTGCTCATCACTAGCTCTACACTGAATACCATGTCCTCAAGCATCTGAGAATATTGGAATATCAAAGCAGGAAAAGGCCCTTTGCAACTGGGAGATAAAAGTGTACACACACCATCACCCAAATGTGCATAGGACTCAGCTATTGACTATTTGACCTAAATCCTAAACCTTTAGAGGGAACCCCATAGGGCAGACATTTAGGGTGCCCTTGCACAGCGGTGGCAACCCAGATGTGGTCGGCAAAGTGGCAAAGTACAGAGAGGGTGTGTGACCTCCCAAAGGCATGAAGCAAGTCAGCACGGAGCTGGGCCAAAGCGAAGATCCCCTGACCGCAGGGCAGGCTCCTTCCATCATACCCTTCTGTGTTCCATAGGCAAATACCCTCCTCCTCCCTGGGTCCTAGAGCCTAGGGATAAGCCCACCAGCCGTGCTGTCCTTTTCCTGACATGGCATTGCGTCTCTCCCACCTGTCGCCCCCACGTTTTCATGCGTGTCTGGGGCCCACCTGCAGGCTCCCCCCTCCCTCTCTCCAGACCTTGCCTTGAGTTCTTGAGCTGCCTGGGCTGTATGTGTTCTGGGGATGGGAGTATTTCCTGGTTGACCAGGTTGGGTGTGGAAACCTGCCAGTCCAGTTTGGGGAACAAAGGTGGCTTTTGTCACCGGGATCTCAGCTACTTATCAGCTGGGGTGGGGGCCTCAGAGATGGTGAGGGGGGAGGCAGGTGCAGGGCTGGGCAGGCAGGAGCACTGCCCCCTGGTGGGAGCTGGGAGCAGGCCCCAGGAGGTGGGTCTTCCCCATGCCCCCAGACCCTCCCGAAGGAGCTGGGCCAGGAGAAGACACCATGGGTGGGGTCCCAGGCCTTAGGCTGTCACCTTGCTGCCAGGTACTGGGGTGAGAAATCATCATCAAGTCTCCCTGGTATCTTCTAACCCAAGACTCTCACAATTTTACAGATAAGGAAATTAAAGCTCAGAAAATGTAACTGGCTTGGTGAGGAGCTACTGGCAGCACTGGGACTCAGACACAGTTTCCCTGACTCCCCGTCCACCATAGCAGCCTAGCCCTGGGGGGCAGGTCACAGAGTCCAGAATCAAATCCATTCCTCTTTCCTTGGCCTAATGGCCCTTGTTTAAAGTTCAGCTTTCTCCTCCTTCCATCTGGGTTTGATTTATCCTGGGGACAGTTTCAGAAAAAAAGTGGCATTTGGTGGCCTGGTGAGATGCAAACATTCCCACATCTGTTCTTTTACATTCTTCTCCCAACATTGGTGCACGGGCCATCGTCCCTGGGAAGGGACAGAGGCCGGAGCAAGCCTGGTGTAGCTGGGGAAGCACCATCCTTACGGGCATGTGGGCACAGACAGACCCCACTGCTCAGCCTGGAGGTCCCATTCCAGCTCTCCTTTCCTGCAGATGGGCTTACTTGTGCCACTCTCTGAATTCAGGTCTTCTGTCTGCAGTGTGGGGGTCACAAGGATTGCATAGACATAAGTGCTCAGCATAGTGAGTGGCCTAGAATGGGCTCTGGGGCCAGGTTTTCTGGGTTCCAATCCTTAGCCATGTGGTCTTGGTCACGTTTGCTTAACCTCTCTGTGCCTCAACTTCCTTGCCTATAAAATGGGGCTAATGATAATGCTTCTTGCATAGGTTGTTGGGAGGACAAGACAAGTTTCTATGCTGTGGGCAGTGGGAGCCGCTCCCGGCAGGAGGCGAGCTCTGTGCATGTCAGCGATTTCAGTACATGGATGAAGAAGGGCCATGGGTGCTGTCTTCACTGCCATGTCCCCAGCATCGGGAAGAGTATCCAACACAGAGTGGGGCTCGATAAACACCATGCGGACAGACAGATAAATAAACAAAGGCTCTTTTCTCCACCCGCTCTGTTCTCAGCACCCCCATAGCAGACCTGCTGGCCTCCCAGGCTTTCCAGCCCCTGAAGTCATCTGTGACCGGGTCCAGTGGCCTCTCCAAGCCCAGCTGTGGGAGCCTGGGCTGCAGAGGGGATGGCGCAAGACCCAGCCCCATGTGTTCCATATTTTCTGAGTCAGCACCGTGGGAGGCCTGCCTTTCCCAGGCAGCTGTGCCGTCTCCTCTCCAGCCTGGCTGGAGCTGCTGGGGAGAAGAAGGGCAGAAAGCGGAGGTGGCTTTGCCTGGTATTTGTATACATCTCAGGGAGAAGGAGAAGGGGCAGCTGTTCCAGCCGTGGCTTCCAAATGCCGGGCTGGGGATTCACTAAATCTGCAGCCTCTTGAAAGTTTTGGAAAAGTGCAGATTCTCAGGCTCCACGGTGGAGATTCTGGTCTAGACCGAGAACTCTGTCTTGTTAAAAGCACCTTAGGTGACACTTTTGTACACCCAGATTTGGTTCTTTATTGTTTTCATTTCTTCGACAAATATAGATTGATTGCCTACGAGTGCCACGTTCTGAACAGAACAGACATAGATATTTGCCCTTGTGGAGCTCAGATTCTAGAAGGAGAGATAACAAGCAACAACTTATTTTAAAAGATCACAAATAGAGCAGGAGTCCCGGGGTGGGTGGAGGGGTGGGCAGCGGTGTTAAATAAGGTGGTCTCAGGAACCTCACGGAGAAGGTAGGCATTGAACTGAGACAGGAGGGGTAGTAGAAGAGAATGAAGCAGTTATCTGGTGGAACAGCATTTCAGGCACAGGGAACGGTATATGCAAAGGCTTTGAGATAGGAGTGTGCCTGGCAGGTAGGAGGAACAGCAAGAGCAGAGCAAAGAGTCTAATGATATCCAGAGGAGGCCAGAGGGATAAGGGAATTGGGGGTGGGAGCTGTTTGCAGATCACACAGGGCTGTGTAGGCCTTGCCAGGTCTTTGACCTTGACTCTGAGTGAACTAAAGAGTCATATTGAGTTCTGAGGTTCTGAGTGGAGGAGTGACATGGTCTGACTTAGGCTGTGAAGATGTCACCTCTGGCTGGCTGCTGCGCTAAGAGCTTACTGCATCTTTAGTAGGGTTAAACACAGTCCATTATGTACCTCTTGTCAAAGCCATAATGAATCTGCTCTTTCCTTCCACAGGGTCCCCACTGTCCCAGTGAAGAACCTAAACGGGTCCAGTCCTGTCAACCCTGCCTTAGCAGGTAAGAGAAACCCTGCAATGCACTGCTTAAGATAGAGAAATCAGAGTTGCAAAATAGGTAGTGAGCATTTGTAAAAAAGGAGGTAATCTGGATGTTAATGAAAGCAAATGGGAATTTTGGGAATTGCATGAGAAAGGCAGGAAGCATTTGGGGGCAGAACTGATTGCTAAAAGCAAAGCATGCTATTGAAGAATACGTTTCTGGCAAAGAAGTAGAAGGCAGAGTAGAGAATCCATGAATTATGAGAACTCTCTGCTGGAAAGCAGGGTAGTGGGAGGGAGGAATTTGGGGTGTGTTGGGAGCTACATCTTCAGTCCTCCCTCACCCACGCTCTGCCCCTTTCAGGAATCACTGGGATCCTCATGAGTGCAGCGGGGCTGCCCGTGTGTCTCACCAGGCCACCAAAGCTGGTCCTACACCCACCCCCCGTCAGCAAGAGTGAAATAAAATCCATCCCAGGGGTTTCCAACACAAGCCGCAAGACCACCAAAAAACAAGCCAAGAAAGGTACCAGCCTCTTTATCTTATGGGGTACAAAGACCTGGCTCCCAGCCCTGGCTCTGCCCCCACCACCAAGGGCCACGGCCATGGCTGAACCCTCTGGGCCTTAATTTGTACATCTGCTAAGTGGGCCTAACCAGTAAATTTTGATGATCATACCAAAGTGGATTGTGTATGGGTCAGATGGAAACACCTGAGAAATAAAAATATATGTTGCAAAAATATAGAAACATAAAATATAAAGTGTGGTACAAAGGAAATATGTTAGAAAAGAAAGATCACTGTGGCATTGGAACCAAAACAGACTGGATTCATATCGTAACTTTGTCATTTACAAGTCGTGGAGCCTCTTGTTTTCTTGTCTTGCTAATGGGGTTAAAAATGTTCATAAGTGATATGGAAGGGATGTCCTGGAATTCATCTATGACAGTGGCAAAGTAGCCACTGTCTCGCGTCCCTCTACAGCCTCCAGATACTCTGGCCACTTGAACCCTCCTTGGGGTACCCCTTCCTACCTGCCCGCAACCCAATAAGGGGTCAATACCTGGGCTTACCCGGCAGTGCAGGACCCTGGCTCAGCCTTTCTGGTCACTGGCATTGGTTGTTAAATGATTTGACTGTCCCCGCCTTGCAAGCTTCTTGTGAAGTTTAAATCAGATCCTATGTGTATATTGCACTTAGGCCAGGTCCTGGCAAGAAATAAGCTCTTAATTAAAGGAAGCATAATTCCTACAAAAGAAGCAGGGCAGTGGGAGGGAAGGGCCTGCATTGCAGCTTTTGGCTGTTGCATGATCTACTTCCTCAAACCCTTGTCCTACTTTTTCAGTTTATCAAAATTTCCTTGCTTAAATGAACTCAATTGCCTCGCTCATAGTCTGATAGGAAGTAACAGGATTTTACACTTTCTCACTCTTCCTGTTATTATTAATAGCACATGTTGAACCCTTATCTGGCAAAGTGTTGAAGGACCGTATGTCCATTAGCTCACTGAATTGTGAAGCAACCCTTTGGGGTAGGTGCTATGTTCTTTTCCATTTTATAGGTGAGAAAACAGAAGCTTAGAGAAATTAAGAGGGTGACCCAAGAGGTGGCACTGATCTTTGTTTCTTTCTTTGCCTCTTTGCAAGGCGGTATCATCCCCTCCTGTACCTTCAGCTTGGGCTGCCTCTTAAGGGTCTGGTCCAGAAGAAATCCCTAAATCATTACAGCCCACCAGATGCCTCCCAGAGCATCACCCTGCTGCTGGGGCTGTGTCTGCTGCCAGTGACAGCACCGCCCAGAGCCAAGGAAGACCGCCCTGAAGTTGTGGGTCATAACTCCCTGGTTTCCCATAAAAATAATCTCACTTTGATGCCACAGTATAAATTGAGACCGTACTTAGCAAATTGTAAAATGAATGCAGTAAGACTGCCTCATGTTTATTTAATGTGTAACAGTTTACAAAGTGCTTTCATATCTGTTATCTCATTGTATCGTTTGGACAAGTCCAGGCTCTTTGATTGTAAGGAAAAGAAACCCACTTTGCTCATCTCAGCTAAACAGTGGGTTTGTTGAAAATAAGCAAGGAGATGCCAGGGAAGCGACTGCAAGAGGGAAAGGCGGGTGTGAACACCTCCTTCTCTCCAAACCACCTCACTGGCTCCTCTGCAACTGGTATTCTCATTCTCATTCTTAAGACCAACGGCAGAAGGAATTGCTCCCCTTTTCTGCTTTGAACTTGGCTGGTCACCCTCCTCTCTGGCATACCCAGCATCGCAAGGCTGTTTGAGGCCTTACTCTGCTTTGGTGGCCCACTGATCTCCCTGTCCCTGCAGGTAAAACCCCAGAGGAAGTGCTGAAGAAGTATCTGCAGAAAGTCCGGCACCCCCCAGACGAGGTGAGTGCAGGGAGGCAGGGTGGGGTTCACTTACCCCATTGCCCACAAGCACTTCTTCCGCTGTGTTTTCTGCGGGATGAGGCCGGACAGAGCTGCTTTCTAAGCCCTGAGCCATGCAGAGCTGGTCAGAGCTGCTTTCTAAGCCCTGAGCCGTGCAGAGCTGGTCAGAGCTGACACCTGGCTCCAGGGTTCCTGGTTCAAAGCTGCCACAGCACCTTAATCTCTCCCACCTCCCTGTTCAGCGTAGTGAGGACTGATTCTAAGCTACCTTACCATGACAGTTTGAATGTAAGAAAAACTGTATGATAAGCTGTGAGAACTCTCTTTAAAATGGGTTTGATACAGACCAGGTTCTCAATTGGGGGGCATTTAGCCCCCCAGGGAACCAAAAATATCTGGAGACATTTTTGGTTGTCATGATTCAAGAGGGGGAGATGTCCCTGGCACCTAGCTGGCAGAGCAGAGACCAGGGACACTGCCACACACCCTGCAGTGCCCGAGGCAGCCCCCACAGCAGAGAATTTCCTGCCCAGAGTGTCAACAGTTCTGAGGTTGAGAAACCCTGTCCTAGATTCATTTAAATAGCAGCTTCTCTGGTACACGGGAAATACAATTTCTTTACAAAAGTTCACCTTAAGTAAAGCTTATCAGGGGTCTGTCAACAAGCATCTGTTTCCTCCACAAGCCACTGGAGGACACAAAGGAAGGACAGTGCATCGCCCCAGCCCTTGAGGAGATTATAATTTCCTTGATGAGCCCGTGTTAATAAGTACCACTAGCAGGAATTATTTCAGGAATTTGTCCTTTGTGTAAAGCAAGACAAAACTGTATTTAGATTCCCAAGAGCACATACCCCTGATCTGTGGGCTTTCTAGAAGAGGGGCAGTAACAGCTCATCCAACCCCTGAGCTCATGCAGGAACCACCACCGAGGTGCCCCGGCCTCCCAGCGGGGGGGGGGGGGGGGTGACAGCTGATGGCCTGTGTGCTCCGTCTCCTCCCGCCCCCAGGATTGCACCATCTGTATGGAGCGCCTCACGGCCCCCTCGGGCTACAAGGGCCCACAGCCGACCGTGAAGCCCGACCTGGTGGGAAAGCTGTCCAGATGCGGCCACATCTACCACATCTACTGCCTGGTGGCCATGTACAACAATGGGAACAAGGTTAGTGCCAGCCTGTGCGGCTGCTGCTCCCCCCCAGCAGCGGGTCCTGGTGGAGAAGATAATGAAGGTCCTACTTGGGCCTCGCCCAGGTGATCGGGGAATCTTAGAGGTACCCCAGGGCAGCACGAGTGATGATCCTGCAGTTGATCTCTGCAGGATCAATTCTCCACCACATTGCAGCGCCGGCAGTCCCTGTGGGCCATGCTCCTAACTACAGCCTTGGGTGTGAAGGTCTAAGGGGGGAGGACTTTTGTCCCTCAGGGTTCTGAGGGGAGTGGCCTGTTGTCAGGGGCCATGGCGAGGTGAAAGGGGCACCCATCAGTGAGGAAGAAGAAAGTTCTTATCCCAGAGCTAGACCCATGGTGAGTGTTCATCCATGCCTTGCAAATGGGTTTCCCAATCGTTCTCCAATCACCCTTCCTTCTCCAGGGCTAGAGATTTTCAGTTATAATTCATTTTCTTTGGACAGCTTCAAAACACCCTTGATTGTCCCTTAAAAGGCATAAGAGATTCTTGCCAAAGTGTATCTGGTAATCCTTGCCCTAGAACCCCACTGTTGGAAAAGGGTGAGACCGTTTGAGATGCTTGTCTTGTCCATTAACTGACAATGCCATAGTATTCCCCCATTGGAGCTGGTTTCTAGGAATCTGGGAGTCTCCGTAAGGGTAATTCTCTCCTTACAATGTCTGAGCATTTCCTAAGTCATTGGCTGATGTTCATTCCTGTGCCTGGAGTAACTCTTACCCCCCATGTCCATGAGTTTGAATCCAACTCATTTCTCCAGGCCCAGCTTGGATTGCATCAGAGTCTGAGATTTTCCTGGTATCCTCTTACTCGTCCCCCAAAATGTCTGGATTTCAGGGGCTACTCTGAACCTCTCTTGCTGTGGGGAGGAAAAGAGACAAGAGAAGCAGCAGACCCAAGCTTGAATCCTGGCTTAGTAGCTGAATGACCTTGGGCAAGATTTTTCAACCTCTTTGAGATTTTATTTTCCATCTGGAAAATGGAGATTAAAACCACACCTACATTATAGGATGGTGTTACTATTATTATTCAAATTGATGATCTCCTTTGTATTGTGGCAATAATTTTTTCCCTTCATCCTTATCGATCCTATTTGATTGATGTTCCCAAAGTGCCGACCTCGGGCTCTTTCTTCATGTCCCCAAGGGTCACATTGGTGCCCCATCACCCATGAAGGATGCAAGTCTGGATCCCATGTTCACTTTCCCAACCCTGGGTTAAAAGGTTTCATTGGGACCTTGCATTTTAAGGGGTTATTTGGGGCTTACAGGGCTTTCTTAGCACAGTTGCTCCCTTTTTGATGACTGTATTCGAGAATAATCTAGTAACTCTTTGCATTTATTTACATGGAACTTCAAAAATGTTTCCCAAGATACTATCCTTTATTCTCTTCTGCAGTCCTACTTTGAGGCATGTGTTTTTATTTTGTTAAACACATGGGGAAAAAGGGCTCAGAAAGAGTGGGGTGATTCACCCAAGGTCTGAAAGCAAGTGAGAGACAGAGCAGAGACAGGGAGCCTGCTTTCAGAGAGCAGTCACTGAGTACGAGCTGGCCCTTTAAACAAGTACAGCTTGAATGGGTAGGTCCCTAAATAGCTCAGCAGAGGATCCCTGTCTTCCTGAAAAGATGGGGATGTCCTGGAGAGCTTTGGTCCCAGCTGTGCAGCAGCACATTTTGCACATGGCTCACGGCCTGTGCACGCCTTCCTTCTGCTCACCCCCTCTTTTTTTTGCAAGCCTGGGAATTGGATTTGTATCACTGCATCCAAAACTCCATGTTCCCCTTAACAGTGCCACTGAGGGGCATTGGAAACCCTGGGGCTTTAGACAGATGCACAGGAGGCCCAGCTCTGATAAGCAATAAGTCCTTTAATCTTGCCATGCCTCAGTTCCCTTCTCTGTAAAAGAAGGCTAGTAATTTCTTCCTGGCCAATGTCAGAAGGCGAGGCCTAAATGAAACAAGAGATGTAAACTCTATTGTGAGATTTAAAAGGCTGTAATTAATAACATCATTCCCTCCTCTAGTTACTTATGCTGACCCTCTATCCTTCTTAGCCAATTCATAACTATTCTTCAAGGACCATTTTCTTAAAGACATCGTCATTTATTCCAGCACATAGTGCCCAGTTCCTCTTTTTTTTTTTTTTTTTTTGAGACAGAGTCTCGCTTTGTCGCCCAGGCTAGAGTGAGTGCTGTGGCGTCAGCCTAGCTCACAGCAACCTCAATCTCCTGGGCTCAAGCAATCCTGCTGCCTCAGCCTCCTGAGTGGCTGGGACTACAGGCATGCGCCACCATGCCCAGCTAATTTTTTCTATATATATTAGTTGGCCAATTAATTTCTTTCTATTTATAGTAGAGACGGGAGTCTCACTCTTGCTCAGGCTGGTTTCGAACTCCTGACCTGGAGCAATCCGCCCGCCTCGGCCTCCCAGAGTGCTAGGATTACGGGCGTGAGCCACCGGGCCCAGCCTCAGTTCCTCTTTTCATAGCAGTGACTTCCAAACCTGGGTGAGCATTAGCCTCTCTACAGAAATCATAAAAATACTAATAATATTTGGAAACACCATGTGCTAAATCCTCCCTGTGGATTATCTCATTTAATTCTCCCAAGAACCCGGGGAGACAGAGACTATAGTTTTCCTTGGTCTATAAGGAAACTGAAACTCAGAGAGGTTGATTAATTTGTCTGAGGTCACGCAGCAGGTAGATAGCAGAGCTGAGACTCTATTCTAGGCAGTTTGACTTTACAGTTCACACTCTGAACCACTACACTTTGTAGCCTCGCCATTCTGATTCAGGAAGCCTGATGTGGGGCCCGGGCAGCTTTATTTTTAACAAGCTCCCCGGGTGATTCTGATGTTCCACAATTGGGCATTTGCTGCTCTCAAGTGTTCTCACTCTGTTCCACCCATTGGTACTTAGTGGCTAAGTAACGGTTCCCCCAGTGAGCTCACTGCCCTAATGAGCTGGTCTCCTCTAGGCAGGGATTCCTCTAACTTGTCCCTCAGCTCGGAGCTTGGGACTATTTGCAGAATTTACCTCCTGTTAATTTGGAGAAGGCAGAAATCGCCTAGGTCTCTGGGCTGGGAGGCAAATTGAGATCTATTACTCATTTGCGCGCATTTTGTCCCTCTGGTTTCGTATCTCTGGTACCCTTTGGGATGGGGCAGGGAAGTTATTACCAGAACTGTTTCCCAATCTGGCTCTTCCGACCTTGTCTCCTCAGGATGGAAGTTTGCAGTGTCCAACCTGTAAGACCATTTATGGGGTGAAGACAGGCACCCAGCCCCCGGGGAAGATGGAATACCACCTCATCCCCCATTCTTTGCCTGGCCACCCAGACTGCAAAACCATCCGGATCATCTACAGCATTCCCCCCGGCATTCAGGTGAGCTCACCCTCCACTGATGGTTTTGATTGCTTTAGGTGTTTGCAGGTAAAATGTTTTACTATGACAAATCTCCTTCCCACCCTTGTTCCCATCTGCCCGGCCTCACCCCCACCTCCCACCCTCCCCATGCACCACCATTGTTTTTAATTTCTTATGTGTCCTCCCAGGGTTCTTTGTGCATATATAACAGATTGCATCCACCCCTCCTATTTCCGCACAAAGAGTGACATTTTAGGGACATTGTTCTGCACCCAGCATTTTTCAATTAACAATATAGTCTGCAGGTCTTTCCATGTCAGTACAGAGAGAGCTTCCTTATTCTTACGTCTATGTAACAATCCATTGTATAAATGTCCCACGGTTTATATTCAGTAGTCACCATTTGATGGGCATATGGATTGTTTCCAGTCTTTTGCTACAACAAATAATAGTATAATGAATAACTTGGACACATGTGACTGTATCTGTAGAATAATTTTCTAGAAGCAGAATTTCTTTGTCAAATGGTATTTGCATTTGTAATTTGATAGCCATACTTTGGCTTTGATTTTTGTGGGCATTTCTTTCCTCTTTCGATTCTTTGAAAGACACTTCTAAGGAAAAATCTGAACAATATTCCTGACAGTAAATACAAATGCGGCCCTTCCTTCACACAACAAAGCTTTTTCCAAATGGTCCAGGGTGCTTACTGAGTTCATTTCTTTTAGCAAATACTTATTAGTTCACCTTCTTTTCCTTTTTCCTATTTGTCTTCTTCCATCTTATCTCTTATTTAATAAACATGTGAGTGTGGATCGTGGTCCAGGCATGGTCTAGGTGCCTGAGGAACAATGAGCCAAACAGACTCAGTCTTTGTTCCCTGAAGCCCCCATTCTTGTGGGGTCAAGAAAGCAATAATGCAGGCGTCCTCAAACTACGGCCCGAGGGCCACCTGTGGGTGTTTTTGCCCATTTGTTTTTTTACTTCAAAATAAATATGTGCAGTGTGCATAGGAATTTATTCATAGTTTTTTTAAACTATAGTCCAGTCCTCCAATGGTCTGAGGGACAGTGAACTGGCCCCCTGTTTAAAAAGTTTGAGGACCCCTGCAATAAAGTAACAAGTAAATAAACGAGGCCCTTCCAAGTGGTGACAAGTGATGTGTAGGAAATAGGGCAGGAAGGTGTGATAGCTTGTAAAAGAATTGCATGAAACACGGCTCTTCCAGGAGGGACTCACCAACCAGTCAGGAAAGATGAATAAGCATCACTAATAAGAGCCATGAGACGCGGTGTAGACAAAGCGGAAACAAAAGGCCGTCAAAGTCAGATGGACCTGGGTTCCGATTCCCAGCTGAGTCTCTATTAGCTGGTAACTTTGGACAGCTGCTTGACTGTCCAAGCTTGGTTTCTTCGCCTGTGTAGGTGGGAACCTGGCATGCAGAGGTTTTGTGAGGACAGGAGATAATGTTCGCCTGTGTATATCAGGGCGCTGGGCACAGTACCAAGGCGCTCGGTACCGGTTGCCGTCATTTGAGGATCCTGTCTGTGGTGAGGAGGAGGGCTTGTGTCTGTGTGTCTGGGAGGGTCCGAGGAGACTTTCTGGTGTGGGGCACTTGCTAGTTGAGTCCTGAAAGACGTGAAGAAACGGAGAAAAGCCTGTTTAGGTGGGGGATGCACGGAGTTGTAGAGCAGAGAAAGTGGGGCATTGAAGGGCAGGCAGGAAGGATTCGATTTGGGGCCTGAGACTTGCAGAGGAGGTGGAGGGAAGGGGCATGAAGGAGAGTTAGAGGACTAGACAGTGAGGGAGGTTGCAGCCAAGTCCCAGGGGGCCTTGAATGCCAGGGCAGTGGCGTGGGCTCCCCTCATCAGACTGCAGGGAGCCCTAACAGGTGCTGGGTGCACGATTGGGATTAAGCTTTAGGAAGGCCGGTCTGGCAGGGGAGTAGGGGCTGGCCGGAGGAAAGGAGACCGATTAAGAGACCCCTGCAGAAGTTCAGGCTCCAGTACCGGGCCCTGAACAAGGGACAGGCCAGGGTAAGGCGAGTGAGCTGTGCTTGGATGTGAGGTCAGGTGAGGCTTCTGGAGTGATTCTGAGGCAGCCAGTCAGGGGGAGAGGGACACAAATGAAAATACGGGTGTCAAGAAACAGCTGGGAAGTAGGACGGACTGCAGTGGGCAAAGATCAGGGTGGGGCAGCCATTCCCTGGATTAAAGAGCGGAGAGCCTGCACTCGGGCACAGAGGTGGCCACAGGACGCCCTCACAGATGCCCCAGCTCCTCCGAGAAAACCCAAGCTCGAGTCAAGGGAAACGAAGCTCTCCCTGGTTAGCGCAGCCCCCCACGCCCGCAGACTCACCCCTGAGGGTCATCAGCAGACGCAGAGCCATGTCTCCCTCAGGACAACAGGGACCTCGTGGGCACGGGCCTCCGTGGAGAGCCGAGCCCTCCAAGCTCCGCCTTCACTGCAGAGCGCTGGTCCCCGGGGAGAAGCTCTGGGCTGGGCTGAGGCAGAGTCGTGACTGCTCTGCTCGGTGAGAGCCGGAGGGCACAGCCTGGCTGGGGCGGTGCCAGGCAGACGTCCGAGTTGGCCACCCAAGCGGCCATCCCAGGCAGAGCAGGGGCAGTCAGAGCAGCAGTTAGAACTGGACTTTCAGGCAGGCAGCCCGACGTGGCCGTGGCCATAGATCGTTGTCAGTCTGTAGTGACTTCCTGTGAAGCTGAAATTCGTAACTGTCAGATCCTGCATCTCCAGGAAGGCCTTGTTGCCTCTTTTGGCTCAAAGTGACCTTTTCCTTCTCCAAGAACCCATTGCATTCACTGTGCCAGATCACAGGTGCTCTTGAACTGTGCTATTAAAAAAAAATTAAAACTGCAGAATTTTTCATCATTTTGGGAACCATTGTACATACTAAGAGAAAAAGAAAAATCTATGTTTTCCTGCAGTTTTGTCATTCATTCATTCACTCATTCATTTGCTCAGCCAGGACATATGTACTGACAGTCTGGGTGAGAGCTTGTGCCAAGAGCTGCATGAAATTACCAATATCATAGGAGTTGCATCTGGAAAGGTTTTTTAACTGGGTTCCATCCCGGAGGGGATTAGGGATGCTCAGACATTGCAGTCAAACATTTTTAGGGAGGGGAATTTTTAGACAATTACAGACAAACATTTTTAGGGGAATTTGTACGTTGTTACTGGGTGAAAATCCATCGCTCTTCATGAGCTTCTCAAAGGGGCCTATGGAGCCATTCTGGGCTCGGATTAGGAAACCTGTTCTGGCTCAGTTCTGCTACTTTCCCACCCCCTTGGCCTGAGACGGCTTGCTTAACAGCGTATTGGGTGACGAAAGCTGAAGTGTTGTCAGGTGTTTAGTCTTGAATATCCCAATCCGTATTGTTAAACAAGAAAACAAACAAAAACCCACGAGGACAAAGGAGCAAATCCACAAGAATCATTCAGAAAATTCTGACTGTTATGGCTCCCACCTTAGAAGCACTTTTGTTGTTCTGAGTAGTTAAGAGTCTAAAAACAGCAAAAAGGCCAGAGTGTGCTTCAGGAAACCTGGGCTAAGTTTTAGGAAAGCCAGTCATGTTATGGAAGCCATTTAACTTCTCTGCACTGCAGTTTTCCTCTTTGTAACACAATCGATGATGACGATGATGGACGATGATATTAAACGCGTACTGAGCTCTTACCGTGCAGCGGGCACGGTGCTCACTTAACATTCACAGCAGTCCCTGGAAGTTAGTATTTTACATCATTCCTGCTAAGGAGATGGGGAACGAAAGCCCCACGAGAGGACTCCAGCTAAAACAGCAGCGGGTGGGAGGGTGGGAGTGGAGAGGTAGCGGCTCTGGGTGCAAATCCAGGTCTGAGGACTCCAAGGCACGTGTACCAAACCACTGCTCACACACTGCCTTTTGGGTCTGTTCTCTGTCTAGGCTCTATGGCTGTTATTGTCATTGTTATTCACATTAGTCACAGCCTGTACCCTCTTCTCATCAGAAATATTTTGCTGTCTTTTCTGCTTTCAGGGGCCCGAACACCCGAATCCTGGGAAGAGTTTCAGCGCCCGTGGCTTCCCCCGACACTGCTACCTTCCAGACAGCGAGAAAGGGAGAAAAGTAAGCGTGGAGGTTTCAGAGTGGAACTAGGTTTCAGTGCAGAACTGGGGAATTGACTTTTAGGTTAGGGACCAAAGTTTTGCTTCCTAAACTGCAGGGGCCAGAGAGAACTGGGTCTCTTTTAACTCCAGATGTGCATGGTAACGAAGTCTTATCACCCATAGGTAAGAGTGGATATGATTAGAATTTGCTTTTGCAGGTGGGTGGGGATGGAGCTCTTGGGTTTTTTCCTCTCCAAGGTATTATTGGCAGTAATTCTTCTATTTCAGGATCTTGTGTCTAGAGCTCTGCTGCTTAAAGGCTGGTCCTGGGAGCAGCCCCAGGGGCAACAGCTAGGAGCTTGATGGAAATGCACTACTAGAACCTACTTAATCTTAATAAGATCCCTAGCTGATCTGACAATACAATAAAGCTTGGGAAGCACTGTTCTGGGGCAGGGATCTTAATGTGTAGGAGATTATTTTTTTTTATCTTTTTTATGTACTTTTGTATTATTTGACGTTTTTCCCCAAAGGGCAGAGGGAACAATCTTTGGGTTTCTGGATTGCTCGTGATTCATGATCAGTCTTTGGTGGTTCTATGAACTGTAAAATTAGAATTAAAAAAAAAAAATGTATGCTTGTTTCTCTGTGGATAAGGCCAGAAAAATCACTGGATTTTCAAAATCTTTCCTGATCTCAAAAGGAATAAGAATCTGTCTAAGGGGGGTGCTAATGGAAATATTGGCCAAAGCGTATTTTAGTCAGCTTTCTCTCCAAATCTCAGCAGCTTACTTTGACACGTATTTATCTGTCATGCACTTTGCATGTGTCTGCGGCTGTGTTGTGGCTGTGGGCCGATGTCATCTGTCCTGGCTGGTATAACACAGTACTGTAGAGTGGACTGAGCATCTTTTAAACAGCAGAAATGTACTGCTCACAGTTCTGGAGTCTGGAAGTCTAAGATCAAGCTGCTGTTAGATTCCATGTCTTGTGAGGCTTGTTACCTGGTTCATAGACAGAGCCTTCTTACTGTGACCTCATGTGATGGAAGAGTAAAGGGATCTTTCTGGGGCCTCTTTTATAAGAGCACTAATCCCATTCATAAGGGCTCCACCCTCTTGACCTTGTCACCTCCCAAAGGCTCTACCTCCTAATACCATCCCCTTGGGGGGTGAGGATTTCAATGTATGAATTTAGGGGCACACAAACATTCAGGCCATTCTGTTCCCTGTGTCTTCCCACTCTGGAGCCCAGGTGGAAGGAACAGGCCTTCTGTGGCCCCAGCCCTTCCCATGAAAGGTGGCAGAGGACCAAGAGAGAATCCAGGCGAAAGGGTGTAATCCCATTTAGAGGTCCTGGAAGCCTGATACTTCCACTCACATCTCACAGGCTCCAAGAAGTCATGAGCAAGCCAGATGAGGGGTGGTGGAGTGACCTGCCTACAGGGAGGTACCTCAGGTCTCAGGGCAAAGGGTGTGGATACAGTCTACTCCTCCCTTCCTACAGGGAGGAAGCAGGTAGTTTGAAACAATGCTAGAATCAACCACATCTTGAAGATGTGCCACCTCAGTGTCCCCAGATTAGGGGCCAGGCCCAGCCTAATACCTGTTTATCATCAGAGAATTATTCCACAATGTTAGCTTTGGTTAAATTAAGACCACATTGAGGTAGCAGTGGGAAGAGTTTCCAAAGTTCTCAGACAATAAGCACCTTCAATTCCTTGATCCTACCTTTCAAAACACATCTATTAGGCCGGGCGCTGTGGCTCACGCCTGTAATCCTAGCTCTTGGGAGGCCGAGGCGGGCGGATTGCTCAAGGTCAGGAGTTCAAAACCAGCCTGAGCAAGAGCGAGACCCCGTCTCTACTATAAATAGAAAGAAATTAATTGGCCAACTGATATATATATAAAAAATTAGCCGGGCATGGTGGCGCATGCCTGTAGTCCCAGCTACCCGGGAGACTGAGGCAGAAGGATCACTCGAGCCCAGGAGTTTGAGGTTGCTGTGAGCTAGGCTGACGCCACGGCACTCACTCTAGCCTGGGCAACAAAGCGAGACTCTGTCTCAAAAAAAAAAAAACACATCTATTATGTGGGTAGCTAACATTTATTGAGTAGTGCCTTCTAGGCACTAGGATGAAAATGTTCATGTAGTGCCCCATATGTCATTCACAACCTTTAGAGGCAGATTGCACCATTGCCATTTTATAAATAAGCTCAGAGAGGTGCTACAACTTATCCGTGGTCACACAGTCATTCGGTGACAGAGCCAGGACTCGACTTGTAGCTCCCTCACTCTGAATCTCCTTGTCTTCCACGGGGCTGCCTGGGGCATCCTGATGCAGGGAGGGGCGGGCCCTGCAGAGGACTCGCTGCCACCCCCTGGGACAGTCTGTGATCAGCACTGAATGTCTGCCTCGGTCTCTGGCCTTTCTTCCCCAGGTTCTGAAGCTGCTGCTCGTGGCCTGGGACCGGCGCCTCATCTTTGCCATCGGCACCTCCAGCACCACGGGCGAGTCAGACACGGTCATCTGGAATGAGGTCCACCACAAGACGGAGTTTGGCTCTAATCTCACTGGCCATGGCTACCCGGACGCCAATTACCTGGATAACGTGCTGGCCGAACTGGCTGCCCAGGGCATCTCTGAGGACAGCACTGCCCAGGAGAAGGACTGAGGCTGGAGGGGCTTTGAGGTGGGGAGGGCGTGGGGACCACGGGACAGGAAGTGGGGAGTCAAGGTAGAAGTCAGTGCCATGTGCTCCCGGCTCCCACGTCTCCCTCCTGCCCGGTCTCCATCCCCCTCCCTCCCTCCCAGCCCCAGGGGCAGCCAGGTTGAATAAGGGGACATCATTCATAAACCTCATCCAATAATACAAAGGGGCCACGGGATGAGGGCCATCCTGGGTCTGGTCCCATGGAGTTTTTGGTGCTGGGCAGGCAAGAACCCCCTCCCCAGCCCCACTGCCCAGGTAGGGGCACAGGCGGCACACTTAGGGTATGGCCGGTGCGTGGGCACTCCATACCCCGGCGTGGTGACGCCAAGGTTGTTGCCTCAGCTGGCTTCTTGCTGCTTCCACTCTGCTTCGAGAGCGGAGTTTCTGCTCTTCTCTCCTCCCCTGGAGGCAGGGAGCTCTCACTGTGCAAGGTTGGGGGGTGAAGGGGTGAACGAACCGCTAAATTGCTGTGACATGAGACACTGGATGCCCCAGTGTAGAGTGAGGAAGCGTGTCTTGCCAAGAGGGCCAGAGAAGCAAAGGCTTCGGGAGCACGTCCGGCTCCCGTCATAGTCCTGGGCTTCTCTGGCCCTCCTTTCCTCCTCACACCTTTGTCCTGTCCAAAGAGGCATCTGGTTCTCTCGAGTGGGTGGCTGCACTCTGGGACTCCTCTCTGGGGTGGCATCCTGTGATGCTGTTTCTAGCCCCTCTCTGATCCAACCAGAGCCTGCATCCCACCGAGCGTCCAAACTGTCCTCAGGGAGAGAGGCCGATAGCCTTCTTCCCAGCCCCTCCCAGACCAGCTCAGAGATTCCATGAGTTTCATCAAGTCACTGTGAGCAGAGCCCGCGCCGGGCTCTGTGCCGTCTGTGTATGTGCATGCGGGCGGGTGGGCACCTCGGGGCCCGGTTGGTGTGGCGGCCCGTCGTGTCCCTGCACCCTGTTTTGCAAGATGCCAAACCCTGAATCTGATGGGGATCAAACATCCAGGCTGTGGTCCTTTGACTTTCCTCACCCTTTGCCAAACCATCCCTTAGGAAACTTAGACCCGGATGGAGTCAGAACTGTGCCTGGGGAGATGGGAGGAGGGGAGGGGCGGGTTGACCCCTTTTTATATTTCTTTTCAAGATTGGATCAGAGCCAATCTCCATCCAGTCTTGTTTCTATGAGGGCTTCAATCTGTCTCATGCAGATTTGCTAATCAGAGCCCAGAGGTGACACTGGGCCTCTTGTCCCCCTCATCTGTCACTGGTTGACTCAGAGCACGGAGGGAGCCTCTGTAGCTCGTCTCCAACGGGGTTGGGACCACACTGTGGTCTGGTCCAGCCTGCTGCTGGGTTGTGTCCCCAGACCCTGTCTATCTCCTCCCCAACATTCCTCTTGCCTTTGGTCCCCATGAAGGAATGAATTGGGGGTCGGGGAGGAGAGAAGGGGGATCAAGAAGGGAAACCCCATTCCCCCTTTGAAAGTGGGTTCTTTGAACTATGTGTTTGGGGGAAGTTCCTCTGGATACTAATTTGAATTTATATACCTCATATTTTGGGGGTTGGACGTATATATATGCATATATATTTCATTATATTTGGAAGGTTTTTAATGCCGGAAAAATCAAAACAAAAGAACCTTCAAAAATGGTACTTAGGTTAGAGCCGGAGGCCAAGCTTTCAGGAGAGCCGGTTCCGTAGCTGCTGGCTGTTGGCCCTGCCGCCATTTTGACATTGGTGTGGCCAGTGGAGTCACCTGAGTGTCACCCAGGTCCTGGGACTTGCTGGTGCTGAGCCTTTCCTGGCTTCCCAGATGGCTCCGGGGACGCTAGTTTTCTCCACCAGAGGGAGCACCAGAGGGAGGAATCGTTCTGCCCTCTGAGGCCATGGCCACCATTGTCTCACCAGCAGACCAGGACTCTGGTCCTCAGTTCGCTGCACCACAGGGCCATTTCCTGCCACAGTTGGGAAGGAGACACCTGAACTAAATGGAAGAGACGTCCCTGCAGTGTTTAATGCCACACCCATGCCCTTTGCCAGGTTTCCACGTACCAGAGATCACTGGAGCGCCTCACTGAAGGCTCAGCTCCATCTCTGCCTTTAGCACCCTCCTCAAGTATCTGCTGGGCTGCCCGGCCTAGGGGACAAGGAATAGACTGAGAGTGCGCGGGTAGAAAAACATAATGAGGCAGTAGTAGGTGGGGGAGGAAAGAAGACGGGCTGTGCCAACGTAACTGGGCAGTGTGGAGAGATCCTTTTTCTAGGTGTAGGTGGGGCAGCGGGCACCCAAGAGCAGGAGGAAGAGCACCCGGGAGGACTACAGGGGAGCCGGTGTATCGGTGGCAATACCACTTGGAGAGGTAGTCTTCATACCTTCACGTCTTTCCCCCTAGGTTTTTGATAGTGTCTTGGCCTCTGTTTCACTTCCACTCCGCTCAGTAGGGGCCACCTCACCCGGTGCAGTCCTTGCGGGACTCCCTGGGCAGAAGGGATCTTGAATTTCCTTTCTAACACTGTGCCCTTTCTCTTGTGCCAACCTAGAAAGGTGCAGTCTCGGTGTCAGCGAGAACCCTGCCAGCAGAGCCCTGTGCACCCGCCACCCTGTCGCAGGGTTCTCTCCCACCCGAGGACCTGCTGCGCCCCTCCTGGCCCAGGTACCGGATCACATAGCTTTCCTTTCATGGTCTTAGCACCAGCAGCCACGTTTCTCCCTTCTTGGGTCCCCAAGGATGACAAATGGGCTTGGAGACAAACCTTGTCAGATGTTCACCCTTCAAAGGTTAATTGTGTATGTGTGGTTGCGCGTGCCTTTGTGTTTTCATTCTCTTCCCTTTTTTTGTAAAATTGGAACTTCTCTGTGGTTTTATACTTGGTGAAAAGTGCTTGTCCTGGTATTGCACTGTTGTGTGCATGATAGGAATGGGGGAAGGCCCGTGTGGCACAAGAAAAGACCCCTGCCCCCCTTCCTTGTCTGTGGTCACCGGCATTTGAGGGGGGAGGGGTTCTGGGAGAGGGCAGGTGAATGTCCTAACCTAAACTGTTCTGTTTGTAACTGGTGTGTTTTGAAGTCCTTGGTGTTGCTCTGTGAGAGGACATCGCCACCTGGTGCTCATGAGGTGTATGTGCAGAACAATAAATGGCAAATGAACAACCATGAATTGTTGCCATCGTTGACCTTCTGTTTTTTGTAGATGGAGGCACCTACGTGTGAGGCATTTGGGTTACCTCCCTGAGCCTGTAAGCAACCACAAGCCCTTCCACTGGATGGGGGAAAGTCCCTTTTCTCTGTTTTTGGGGGTTTGGTATTTTTTTTTTTTTTGGTTTTTTATTTTCAGTTTTGACATCTTTTCCACCCACACGTTTGACCTGGTTGGACTCTCTGTTCCCTGAAAGGAACAGACCACATGGCTGGGGAAATGAGTAAGTGAACTTGTGGGAGGAAAACCATCTTTAAAATCATGAATGTTCACTTCTTAAAGATCCCGTCACCTGCCTACAATATAGCGTACGCTTTGGTGGTTCACAGGCTGTTGTTTTTCAAATGAATGTTTAGTATTAATCATCCCTGATACTGATGGGAACAGAAGAGTAAAATGCAAATGCAGAGCCACCTTTGTTACACATCTCTGTCAAGGAGTGTGGTTTCCTTGGAAGCCAGGATGTTCTTTCCAGAGACCCCAGCCTAAAATTACCCGTTAGGAAACTTAGGAAAGTGGGACTTGGGAAAGCAGAGCCTGTGAGAGCCTCCATCAGCGTTCTGGCTTTGTAAAATGCCTTCATGAATGTAACCTGCAAACTCCCACGTTCTGATTTCATATGGATGAGCAGTCAGAGTGTTCCTTAGTACATATTTTAATGCATATTTATGTGCAATCTTGTTAGTAGAAATAGAAGTTTGTAAAGAACTTTTGATTTCAATGAGTAGCTAGTGCATTAAAAACCTGGGAACCTTTGGCTATACTTTGCCTTTCTGACTCACTCGTCTTCCAGGAATTAATAGGAAAGTCAGTATTTGCAGAAAAGTGGTTAGGTTGGCTCAAACATACAAAACACCCAAAACCCACAAAACACTTAGAGGCTTAGGAGAACATTTTAATGCTTAAAAGCCAAGTTAAGTGAAAAAGTTGTAGAAATCAGTGTCCCTGGCTGGGCAGTCAAGAGAGCAGGTTGCAAATGCTGTTATTCACGTCTCTGTATCTCAGTTGGAAATGACTGAGTAGCCTCCTTCCCATCTTACCACAGGCCGGAATGCTTCAAGCTCCTTAGATGAAGGGCCTATTCTCAGTCCAAGCTCTTGATTGTGAACATTAACAAGGAAAGAACAAATTATCCTTTATAGGAGTTAACTCACTAAAGACATCTGGTGAATAAATACATAATTTTTTAAATGTTGTGGAGGAACACTAGTGAGACAATTAGGTGAGATTGGAATTAAAATTGAGCAAAGCCCCCGATATTGCCAGCTGACTATCCTGCATCCTGCTAGATGCCCAGGGCTGTCGGCCTGGGACTGAAATGAACGTGTTACAAGTGGTGCCGGAGGCCTTTTCCAGTTCATTTAAAAACATGGAGTTGATCATGTCAGCCCCCTTTCTGTTAGGAAAAGAAAAAAAAAAAAAAGCACAGTGAATAATTGGTGCTTTCTACTCTGTTTTGATTTTAGGGAGGAAGTAATACTTAGATGTGGGTTTACTTTGCTTCTTATTTTTTTCATCCCCAGAACAATGCAGACTCTTTGGAATGCAGGGTGTGTGTGTGTGTGTGTGTGTGTGTGACAGGAGGATAGGAAGTGTAGGGACCATTCATGAAAGAGGAAGGGGTTGTACCTTGGTAACACAGAACATGGAACTGTAATGCTTGGTCTACCCACATCTACAGCTCCTTTTGGTGCCCAATTTATGCTGAGCTAAGGGGAAGAAATGAAGTAGTTGGATGTGGGTAAGAATTCCAATTTCCTTTGAGCACCAGACTCTTTTTTTTTCCCCCAGTTTTTACCTTTCTTTTCTTACCCCTTGTCTCCAAACCATCCCTTCCCCCTTGCCCTCCTAAGAAAAGTTTATAAGGGAAAATGCTTTCTGAGGACTTGACACTAGTCAGAAGTCCAAGAGTGGTCTGGCCTAAGTCCTCCTCGTGGGGCAGCTGGAAAGAGTGGCGTTGCCACAGGCTGCCGAGAGGAACAGAGGAGGTGACACTGTCCCTCGACATGCAAGCCTCAAAGCTAAAAAGCAGTGGCCAAGCACAAACTCCTGTATCTTTTCAGGGCTCTGTCAACCTCTAGGAGCGTGAAATCCAGACAGCTTTTTAAACAAACACAAATAAAGGGAAGATAATGCTTAAAGGCAAAAATTCTTACAGCTCACAAATTGGGAACCACTGCGGACTTCAGATTAAATGCATAGTTGCCAAATCCAAATGTCAATATCCTCCCTTCTCTCTTTGTACACAAGGGCATTTAAGTGAAGGCAGATAGCGGGGCACGTAGGGAGAGGACACTCGCCTCTCATTTTAGTCCCCAGGATGGCTTTTGCTTCCAAGAGTCACAACTGCTGCCTCTCCCCACCCCCAGCCTTGTCCACGTAGCAATGCAAATTTCCTGGACCAGAGACCCAGACAAGAAGTCACAAAATTATACCTGCTATTTGTTGCACTTGCCACTTCTATCGCCAGGAAGGCAAGAGTGGCTGGAGGTGGCCACTCTGGCTAGAGATGAAACCATTTCCCGGGAGAGATTTAAGCAGGACTCTGCTCCTGCTCTCCGTCAGGGGTGTCTCCCGTTGCTGCTATGCCTGGAGCCAAACTCTGCCTCTCGTCCTCAATTTCCTGGTATCCCTTCTTCTTGAACTTCCGTGTGCCGTAGATGGCCAGGGCGATGACAGCGGCCAGAACGGTGGTGACCCCCACTGTGACCCCAGCTGCCGCCCCTCCTGACAGACCCTGACCGTCCCCATGGACGACATTCATGGCCCTGCGCAGCTCTGTCGGCTCCCCCAGCCTCCACTGGTGGGTCTGGGGGTCTTTAATCCAGGATCTTGCGCCCTCCGAACTGGTCACTATGACAGTGTTGGTGGCAGCCTGGCTCATGAGCGGTGGCTGCGTGTAAGGCGGCAGCCTGGCAGGGGGCAGGGACCCTCCTGTAAAGAGCCCGGACTTGACGCAGTAGGATATTTGGCAGCCGTCACTGATGAGGGCCAGGTGTTGGCTGAAGCCCCCGGGGCACTTTTTCAGAGTAGGTGCCCCTAAATCTCTGGACATGGCAGAATCCACCAAGGGGTTCCCAACTATGCAGCTGAAGAACCCGCCAAAGGGGACCGAGAACCTGTTTCCCAACTCATAGTCCTGAGAAGCACATACCTTGAGGTTTTCAAAGAGTCTCAGTGGAAAGTAGCTGGCAGGACACGACTGCGCATTTGTCATGGGGTTTACGCTCTTACCGCTGAAGAGGCCCCCAAAAAGTAGTCCTGAGTTTTCGGGTACTTGGCCACTGGCCGCACACCAAAAAGCCCTGAATTCAGCCTTTGCCACACGGAACACATCTTCGCACACAGTCTTGCAGAAGATGAGGAGCTTGCACTTCCGTTGACACTCCAGGTGGTTATACCCCTCCTCGTGGACCTGGGACAGCAGGTGCACCAGGGAATAGCCAGAGGGACAGGAGAAATCGCCAGTGAGTGGATTCTTCTGCTCCAAGTGTTGGCAGAGGAGGACATCCGCATTTCCTGAGCGCTGGGTACATTCCTGATAAACTCCGCCGAAGGAGAAGTTGGTCATTTTCCCCTCGCAGGAACCATCATCAGTGTTGGCCTGAAAATTGAAGTTGGGCGAATTGACATCTGTGCAACCAGGGTAGGTGTTGAACGTGTAATAGCGTCTCACGGCGTTTTCCACCGTCTTGGACAGCTTCTTCACCAAGGGGCCCGGCAAGGCAGGCAGCATGTCGGGGTTGATGAAGAAATGCAGTGGCAGGCCCGTACGGTCCACTGCCACCAGGTGGTTGGTGATGCCCTGCTGCCAGGCCTGGAGGGTGATGCCGGGGTAAAAAGGAACCCCTCCAATGCTCTGCACCCTGGAGTTGGTTCGGTTTGAGAGGTAGCCCTTGAGGAAGGCATTCTGCGAGGTGTAGTTCTCCTCAAATTTGAAGTTCACGATGTTTTGGAAGGCAACTCCAGCAGACGCGGTCACGACACTGTGGCTGCTCTGGCTGTCCTGGAGAAAGGAGGCCCTGATGTGGTCTTCCTGGACAAGAGCAGCCCCGGCATCCACACTGGTGATGACGTGGGTGCCATAATTGAGGACCAGGAGCTCTGCCAGGTAGGTGGCCATCCTTGTCTGGTTGTTCTCTAGACAGTCAGAGATGTCCATGAGCTCCTTCTTAAACCTCCAGCTTAGTTCTGAAGCTGGGTTGATTTTGGCTGTGTAGACCAGGTTTCTTACCTGAACTCTGGTAGTTACAGCTTGGTCCTTCACTTGAAGGGTCTTCATTCTCTGGAACTCGGAGGAGAACTTGCCGTTGACTTTGGAAAAAAGGGAGAGCTCTGTGTTGATGGAGTAGGAGGTGCTGCTCTGGTAATTCACCCAAGATGCCAGGATTTCTGAGTTCATCTCCAGGTTGCTCTGTTTCTGGGGAATGGTGTAGATTTCATCGGGGATGATGTACTGCCCATCCTCTGTGGTCCTGCAGTTAGTGTAGGTCAAGTTCATCACCCGTCCCATGTCCACGTTCCGCAGATTATCCCAGCCCCCTCCAGGTAGGACTTCCAGGACAGGTAGTTTCAAAGCATTCTTGCATTTTTGAAATCCAACCTCAACTGTCTCTCCCAAAGGCTTGCCTGCTTTAGCCCACGCTGCCACTGCCCAGAAGAGGATGGCAGTCCTGAAGCTGTTCATGGCTCAGACAGCCTCAGCCACACACCAGCCTTGTGGTTGCACCAGCGTCTGGTGAGCTTGCTGCAGACTGAAGAGATGGGAAAGAAAGCAGTTGCTGAAACAGTAAATTCAGCAGTTCTTCAAAAGTTACCAGTTCCTCTTTAGGCTAATCTAATTGCAAAATGGGGAAATGAGAGTTGGTTGGAATCTTAAGGTCCATTAGGACTTTGAAAAAAATTATGCTGTACTAGATATGCAAACACAGCTCTATGTGCTTGACAGTTCACTGCCTTAACTTCCCCCCTTCCCCAGCCCGTTACTCTGAAGCCATGGTGGACACTCGGGAAAAGTGTGATCCTGCACCTCACGTCCTCCAATGGAAATGTTTGGTTTTGCTTTTTGTTCACTCCCTTGGACATGACATGATGTTTTAAATTTTCACTGACTGCTCTCTCCTAAAACTCCAATACCAATTTCCTTTTACTGGAAATGCAGAGGTGAATGGCAACGTCACCCTTCCCGAGACACTCTGCCTGTACCATAGCCACGCTAACGGTAGGTCAAGGCCAGCCCTCGGGTTTCCTATTCCTTCTGTTCCTACAGAAGGAGTGAAAACCTTGGACACACATCTTGTGGGGCTTCATTGTTATAAGTCCTAATATTCCTGTCTTTGGAGATGGAAGTTTCTGGAGCAGAACTGAAGGGGCCTGAAGAGGATTCAGTTTGCCATATAAGCTGGGAAACCTCAGTCTGCATTGTCCTAAACATTCAGAGTGAGGGTGAGGGACCCCCACATTTCTATCTATTCCTTTCAGATAGAAATGTCCAAGCAAGGACAAAACCACACTATAATCTTGATCTTTATTTATAAAAAGAAGACAGTGGCCAAGGAATGTATGTGTATATGTATATACATTTATATGTCCTCTGTGTGTGTGAATTTTACAATGAGTTGGTGTCTGTTGTTATACTTTTGATTTTTCATTCCATTGCTAAGTGCATGTAATAGTATAGGTGCATTAAAAAAAGAACATGGTTCTTCATTCCTTAATTTTTTTAAAAAGCAATAATTCATTTATTATATCATTAGGAGAACATGATTTCATGAATTTCCTTTTCTATGTTGATGCCAGCTCTATTAGATCACATGTTTTAGAGAAATATTCCCAGGTTCATTGATCTAGTACCAGGATTGACTGAAGCCCAGCTCTGTTAATTGTTTGGAACAATTAGTCTGTGTCTTAGTACGCTTAGTGGTAGCCAGGGAATCCAGAGGAGTTACTGAAGCTCCCAATTGCACCCTCATGCCTCCCAAAATCATATCATGAGCCAGATGCCATCCTGAGACTGAAAAAGTCATCTTTCAATTGACAGGTATCACTATGCTATCACCTGTATACATCCTGGAAGGAACGTTCCAAGGAATTGAATTACATCGGATTGTCACTGACAGAGCTAAAAAGTATTTTTGGGAAGAATAAGGTCAGTTGCCTAGCTTCCCAGGCTAAGCTTCATTAGTGATGATTAAAACCTGATGGTGTTCTCTAAGTCCAGAAATACTACATTCTGGGTCTATTCATGCCACAGTTTTCATGCTTTGGGGAACTGACACCATCCACCCAAGAGGGATTAATTTATGAATCAGTGTCCAATCTATATTTGGCTAGAGAACTGAACCTTTGTGCAGGATGTTCTGGGTAATTTATATGTCAGTTAGTTATAAATTTATATCTTAGCAGAGTGATCCCAGAATTAGAAAAATTAGAGTGGAATGTCCTTGAGTACTTCCAATAAGCCTCTTGACATATCTGCACATTGCTCTTCAAACTATTTCAGGGATGGTTCATCAGAATTAGAATACATTCTTACTTGTACTGTTTTGGAGACATGCTGACAATTTCTTACTCTCTGTTATCTCTTTACAGAGACCTCACTCTTGAGACCTCACTCTCCTGGAATGAGAATATAAACAAGGTTACTATAGGCAATTCTATATTCAGGTGTTCCTATATCTCTAAACACCCAATCATTGTGTGTGTGTAGTTTTTCTTTTTTGCTATATTCTTCATCTTCTCCTCATTTTTGTCATAGAAAAAAATGAAAATAGCTAAAGCAGCCAGCAAGAGTGAAATTATATTGTATGCATATGACAAAATATTTTACAGCCATCACAATTATTTCAAACAATTTTAATAGCATGAGTAATTCTTATGCCATAATATTGTGGAAAAAAGCATGATATACATTCAACATGACCTCAACTATATATAAATATATATAACTAGAGGGACATACACCAACCCATTGACAGTAACCATATCTGGTTGATAGGTTTTCTGAATATTTTAATTTTTCCTCTAACTTTTCTGTTTTTTTGGGTTTTTTTTTTTTTTAGTTTTTAACAATGACGATATGTTTACTTATTTGAGAAATTTTTATTCGGAAGCTACTATGTAACAAACAACAATAGAAACTAGATAATCATCACTTTTGTACTCAGAGAAATGACCAAAAAATATACATTTAATAAACAAAAGAAACAAATTATTTCTGGAATTTTCATATGCCTGAAATGATCCAAAGCCTATGGACTCGTGATTTCTGTGCTCAAGGAAGTTTTCCTTTCGACTGGGAGAACAATGAAAGAAGAAGTGCATGTGATGGGAATTTCAGCCTTACTTAAATCTGTATGCCCAGAGCAGGAAGAGTGGCCCTTAATCGTCAGGTATGAGGAAGTGGTGACAAGAGTTTGACCAGTGCATTTCATGCACACCTTTCCTGTTTTACTCTGTTCACTAGCAATTTCCTCCGCTTTTTCTTGTACTGAAATGTGTACGCCATCACATAAACCCTCCAGATGGCCACACTCAAGGGGTTAAGGGCCTGCGGTAAAAAATCGAACTTTGGTCTCTAAAAGAAAGAGGTAACTTCTCCATAAAAGTTATGCATCTGCTTTGCCAAAGTGCGATTTCACTTCCTCCAAAAAGAGGAAAGAGGGAAGTCCCATATCTGCTTTCTCTCTCCTTTTGAGCACGTGCAACCTTCTGACACCATCCCATGCAAAGCCAAACCATGACTCACGTCTGAGATTCAGTTCTGTGTGGGCTTGGAACTAGTCCAGGTGTTTCCTACTTCTGCCTTTCTACCTGCCATCTGAAAAAGGAGGTGGAAAGTCTGTTTGCATTTGCCGGGGCCAATTCCCTTTCTTCTTTTTAGCAGGAATCTAGGAGACCAGCCTGAAAACTGACAGTCAGATAATTGTTAAAGGGATCAGAGAACTATGATTGTCATGGATTCTAGAATAAACTTTGTTCCAGAAACTCTAGAAAGTATCAGTGAACAAAGTGACAATATTTTCTTTTCTGAACAGTGATTCCAACTGTTTCAAGAGTTGTTATGTCAGCTCCTTCCCCGCAGAGGCTGTTCTTCCCACCAGGATTGTGTGGGAACTGACCACGAATATAGAACATGGTGGTTTCAGGATTCTTTTTAATCTGGTGAGTAAAAACAGAAGGCCCCTGCGCAATTCTGCATATTCGCATTAGAAGCCAGGCCTGAATCTGGCAACCTAAGCCATCTGATTTCTTTCCTCTATTAGCACTCTTTCCTTTCCCCTCTTCCTCCCACATTCTCTGATCCTTTCTCCTCATCAATTATTCCCGTTCTGCTCCTTTTTCTCTTTGGCATTTGCAAATTTAGATTTGGAGGACAAATGCCTGTGATTTAAGGTGGTACTGCCACTGGACGAAAGAGGAACTGGGTGTGGTGGCTCCCACCCGCCGTCCCAGCTATCCGGGAGGCTGAGGCTAGAGGACTGCTGAAGCCCCCGCCTGGGCAACGCAGCTATATGCTATCTCTAAAAAAAAAATGTATTAAAAAAATTTAAAAATAAAGAAGGACAACCCAATGTGGCAAAGACAGCCTTTTTAGGCTTTAGGCGTTCACTGCCCTAGTCCTCATCACGGCAGACATCACTAAGCAGTCACACCATTTATTTCCACTGAGCCCTGAGGACATTCCAGGACATTCTAATGGGAACCTATTACATCAATTCCCTAAATAAATACTTATTAAGCATTCGTTACTGGTCAGACATCTGTTGTAGGTGCCATTTTTGCAGTAGCCAATGTCAAATTTAATGCTATTTTAAGAGTCTAGGAGAGAGAGTGAGCTCTCACAGCCAGCCCTCCCTTTCATCTACCCTCAACGCTGAGCTCTGCAAGGACTGAGCAGTTAGGACCACCCATTGCCCCCTCCCCATCTGCCTTCAGGCTTCCTAATGACATCAGCCTAATATGAAAAGTGTCTCTTGCATTCTCCTTCAGCAGAAAAAAGTTCAGCATGAAGAGCTTTGCACGCAATGGGACTGGAAATACAGTGGAAATTCTCTTACGTCCCCATTTCTCAGTCCCCACATCTTTCCTGTCATCCTCTTTAAGGAAGATTTGAACAAAAGAAGTGATGGAGCTGCATTAGGTCTCTCTGAGTTAACTGCTGGCAGATTTCGTATTTCTGTATTTGTTTCATTATTGAGTAACATAAAACCAAGCTAACAGCCAATGTTTCCTCCTTTTTTACCATGGAATCTTCTGATGGACTTTGAGCTCAAGCAAAGTAAAAATTACCACCATTTTTCTTTCTACCCCAAATAACCAAGAATAGATTAAAGCAAAAACAAGCAAGTTAGGTGAGGTGGTTCTTCCATCACAGAATTATGTAAAATTAAGAGCTTTGGGTCCTTTATTGAAATATTCCTATTGTCTCTTCTGTTTCTTGGTCATCAAAACATACAATTAAGAGCATAGTCTGAGTTCTGCACCTATTCAGTCCCTAGACTTTGTTCTGCTTTGGCTATTTATTCAAATACCTCAACTGCTAGACTGATGAATGTGGATGTGAAATAGAGGTTTCAGAAATATAGGCAACATTATGGCTCCAAAAGTGACTCTGTGCAAGTTCTAGAGTCTCCCTAAGCCTTCATCTCCTCAACTATGAAGCACATGCAACAGGAGCCACCTCTACACAGTGGTTTCCAAGTCAGGAATGGGCAACTGGCAGGCTTGGAGAAGCAGCAGTTAGCCTGCAAGAAGAAAATGTTTCAATATTTCTGCAATTCCTCCATGTGGGGCATTTTT